TTTCCACAAAATTTCCACTCTTATCTTATATACCTCACCCGTTTCTCGCCGTTCATTCCGTATGGTTAAACGATTTGACCATTCACTCACGATTATTCGAAAGAATATTGTGAATATTGACAGAAGTTATCGAATTAAGAGGCAATCTCTCTCGAGAAAATTCATCGTGATTCCATATCCCCCTTCATATTTCTCGTCCCAATCTTTCTCTTCCTTCGACGTGTCGCCCTCTCCCCCATTGCTCAACGCGGACAGACAATAACGAAGATGCGTTTTATCCGGAAGGGATAAAAAAAAAAGAAAACGCGAGATACACAGCCGTCGAGGGGATCTTCGAGTTCGAAACAACGAGACACGTCGAATATACCGGAAGCGGCGGTGCTGTTCCATCCTCGTCACGACTGCTCGTGTCGAGCACCACCGTTTCTTTTTTTTCTTTCTTTCTTTCTCTTTTCCTTTCTCTTCCTCTCTTCCCTTTTCTTTTTTTTTTTTTTTCTCCTCAACACCCTCGCTCTCTTTGGGGCACGCATTATCGATGTTCCTTTCACGTAATTAGCGAATCCCAACTCTCGCCATTTAGGGCGACTTTACAAGCGCGACGATTATCGATCTGCGGTCGAGCGTGGATTTTTTTCTTCCCTTTTTATTCTCCTTTTTATTTTTTCTTTTTTCATCCCCTCTTTATTTCACGTTTCGCAACATGTCAAAACCCGTTTGGAATTTTAATAAGGCAAATCTTAATAAGATATTGGATAAACGTGCACAATGAATCTTTTTTCTTTTTTTTTTTTTTTTTTTTNTTTTTTGGTCTTCTTTTATTTTTATTTATAGATTTTTATATTTGCGCGAAAAACGTGGGAGGAGGGGGGGGGAAGGGAATATAATTTTCGCGAAAATTGAATTCTTCCTTGAAATTTTTTTTCGTTATTGGATATCAAACTTGTCACAGCCCGTGTTCATCAGCACGAACCACCTCGGCCAACATCCGGTCGTTAACCGATTAATTAATTATCGTTAATTGGAAACGTGCACGTCACGGTGAAATCCGATGAAGATGGGCCGGCGAATTTTGAATTTTCGCCCGAAACTCCTTCCCCCGAAATTCTATCTAGTAATAATCTTGGGGTATGATTTCGACGAAATTAAAGAGAACGAAGAGATTTAAGAGTCGAGAACAAGTTCCGGATACGAAGCGCATCCTAAAGACGAAGATGTAATTGTTTAAGGTAAAAAGTATCATTGTGCACACGAATTGCTTATTAACCAAATAGAATCTTAATCGATATCAACTGGTAGGATAGAGTTTTCCAGGCTAATTTTCGATTGGAAACCTGAATCCCCGTTGATCACGATGTTGAAACGTTTCTCTATTTTTCAATAATTCTTTCTTTTTTTTTCCTGTATATTTTCTTCGTTTTCCAACCTTTCCAGAGGATATACGGATTATCGAAAAAAACAGCTCGATAACGCGAACGTGACATCGACGCTCTGACTACCAATTGAACTCTAAGATCCGAAGATCTAATTTGTTTAATCGCTTAAGTTAAATAAATTCGAAAAATTCCAAAACAAGTAATCGAGAAATATCAAATTCAAGAACATAACTTTTTCGACCGCAGATCGTGTCGTGTCACGCTGTTCGATTTTCTTGTTTAACTCCCCACGATCCCAAACCAATGTGTTTTTGGAATGTGCCTGCTGTAAATGCATCACGCTCTAGTCTTGTTTTTTCTTGACGCACCCAACTTTGTAACCATAAAATAGAGCCGGATCCGGCTGTATAATTGTAACCATCCAGTCGAAATTGGTCTCGTTTTTTTTATAACTTCCGTTTGTTAAATCGCGCTAACCACACGTGCGACACTTGCACGGTAGTTGATTGTTTAAATAATTATTCCGTTGTTGTTGTTGATTGTTATTGTTGTTTACTTGTTGCTCGTTTATATCAAGTTTATATTAGCCTGTAACCAGCTGCGCAAGTTTTTCTCTCATTTTTGTAACTAATCGCCACGGGGGACTCTGTCTCTTGAAGAGATTTGGAGCGTTCGAAATCGTGTCGGGTGAAATAATAATAAATTTTACGGAAAAATCAAATTAAAAATTCCACTATTATTATATATATATATATATATATATTTTTTTATTAGACTGCAGATGTTTATGCATATGGGATGTTCCAATTGATTCATGTTCAATTTTTCCAATTTTAATAAAAATAAATAAATAAACGTTTTTAACAAAATATCGATCTCTTTTAAAACAGTAACGTAATTACACGCGCTCTCTCCCCATAATACACACGATATCATAATCGTGTATCAAATTGTATCACAAAAAAAAAAAAAATGTATAAAATATTATAAATAATCCACGAAGGACATTTTTGCATAAACACCGGTCTCAATCAAATATTAAAATCGAAAAGAGAGAAGAGGGGGGGGAAAAAAGCTTTCTCGAGGGCAAAATGAAAAAAAGGCGTCACACCAGTGACAACGAACTTAGATTACATTAACTTAAAAAGCGCTAACCGAAAAGCATTTCGCTTTGCAACTCTCGCTTCTACTCTCTCTCTTTCTCTCTCTCTCTCTCTCTCTCTCTCTCTCTCTCTCTAGTTCTCCCGTAAACGACACGATAAAGAAAGGGTCGTCGCATAAAAGGAACAATAGACGCGATTCACGCGAGCGCTCCTTGATCTCTTCGAGGCGGAAGTTGAACGTGGACCACGCGGAAGCGTAAAGGCACGGAGTTAGAGTTGAGGGATGCGCACACACGGTGACGGCGCGGACAAAAGGTAGGCAGAAACATCAGTTTTTATTGCTCCACTGTTTGGATCAAAGGGACGAGACAGAGAGAGAGAGAGAGAGTTTGTCTGGCGATCAATCGAGGGCCGGATACGCGGACGATGCAGCCATTTCCGGGCGCCGAAAGAGGCGTCGTCTTCGAAGTGGGAGTTCCATCAGCGGAACGAGCTCGCCGATTTCTTCCTAATTCTCGCTCGAACAATCGACCAAATTTCTCGTCCGTGGTCGTTAAACATTAAAAGCTACCTATGCTCTATATCTTTTAACCAGAGGATCGTCGATTCAAGGGACTTTGTTCCATGATATCCGAGTGATCGGCCGGATTTTATTTCTTCTCATTCTCGAGGATCCTAATTTCTCGACGAGATTCGACGAGTTTCTTTCAATTGTTCTGTCAAAGATTCGAATTCGATTCTTTCTTTCAACGTGTATTCTTTTACCTTGTTTGGGGATTGGAATCTTTTTGGAAATTTTATTTACGATCTCACAAGAAATCTTCGATTTTTTGTTTCTTTTTTCCGAGATCTTCCTTTGCGTAAATCTTGGTATCGTTAAAAATTGTTGAGTCGAGAGAGACTTTCAAGGCTCGTGTGATCTTTTTGAAAATCGTGAAACGATGTAAGAAGATATTTTCTCGATAATGATATTTGGATATACAAATTGCTGCTCCGTGTGTTTGCAGATGTCGTCAGATGCTATAAATAGCTTTGATGGTAGAAGAAATATGGTAACTATCCGTCTCAACGATGGTCAAATACAATTTTGTGAAAATATCCGTCCAAGCATCTCGTTCGAGGATATTATTTATCTAGAAAACAGATTCTTATCTGTTAATCCATTTCTTCGTATTCTTCAATCCCATTATTCTTATTTACATTTTTTTAATTCCATTTCGTCCAAAATATACTTCGTTTATTATTGATTATTGACTTGTTTTGTTTCGCGTGCGTACCTTGAAATATTTCTCTATAAGTTTTCTTGACGAATAAGTTAAGCTCAGATATGCGAACAAAATTATCACGGCACAAGGTAACAAGCTGCAGATTATAATATTTGTGATTAGCATGCACGTAGGTGATTTGTAAAGTTGTTTCATCTTGTTCCACCAATTTTCTACTCTTTCTTCCATTTTTTTTCTTTTTTTTTTCGATTCCGTTAATCGAGATAATTCAAATTTAACTCATCTCGACTCAATTGCTTTCCAATTTCATTTTTCAAGATCGATTTCAAGTACAGTTACTCGTAGCTTTTGATAATCGCGGTCAAATTATCATTCCAATTTCATCAGATGAATTTGATCGATTATAAGTGAACGTTGTTGTTGGTTTCTCACGAATCTTCTCTTCTTTTTCTCGACTGGATCGATGGCCAAATCAATAGTAATACAAACTTCTCGTTGTTTATCGCAGAAAACACGAGGATTCTATGCTTTCATTCTTGTTCCATTGTTATATATCCACTCGCAATCTTCTTTTCAAATCTTTTCAAAACGCGGATAAGAGATTAAAATCAGTGCGATAATTATCGTTGAGGGTGCAAAAGATGCAAAAGTCTTCTCCAACGTGTATTACAACTTTCCAACCCTCTTTCCAAGTCCAAATCGTTGAAAGATCCTTCTTTTCGTGCCCGTTCAACATCCTGAAATTCGTTTCTCAACGTGAAACATTGTCTCAAAATGTAATCCTCGGCAAAAGAGAAAAGAATAGGAGAATATATCGCCTTCCCTATTTCGAAAAATTCATCCTCTTTCGAAAAGAAATTACGAAAGGGGAAAAACTCGTCTCTTCCATTCGAGACTCACCCCTTCCGCGATAAGAAAAAGAAAATAAAAGAAGAAAGAAAAAGAAAAACACGAATAAATATGAGAAAAAAATTCGTCGAATTTCGTCTCGTCCTCTCTTCCCTTCAAAAATTCAAAAATTCCTCCCCACGAAATTTCGCGGCCGAAAAGAATAATTTGGATGGAAGAAGAATATTTCGTCTCGTCGTCGTCGTCGTCGCCCTCATTTCCTTTCTGAAAAACTCGCGAACCCTCCCCCCTCCACCGCGAAATTTCGCGAAATTTAAAAAGGAAAGGAAGGCGAGGAAGGAGAGCAGCGAAGCGGCGATGGCCGGCAAGGAGAACTCACCAGCGGCGTGAGAACACGGTGCGAAAAGGTAGGCGAGCATTAGCATGTGTCTTTGTGCGTGTTGTTGCAGCCGCGGCGCTGAGAGGAGTCGCCATCCAAAGGGGACGAGTGGGCGCTGCGAGGGCGGCTTTCCCGACTAGTGCAGCGGCATTGGCCCTCGCGAGGAACCCGGGGCCACTCGCAGCTGCGGCTGCGGCTACGGCCCTGCATCCCTTCGCACCTGCGTAAGTAGACCTCGATCTGGTGCCTGGTATGCTTGCTACGCACCGTGCTCGATGGAAATTTCTCTTGATATTTTTCTTTTTTCTCTTTCTCTTTCTCTCTTTCTCCCCTCCCCTTTTATACGTCGCAGCGAATCTCTTGATCTTTGATTTTTCCCAATTGCTGGATGTTGCGATCTGTCATGGCGGAATTTCGAGTTTTTCTTTTTTTTTTTTTTTTAATAAAAGGAGAATGTAGACAGAACTCTTTGTGACAGGATTATTTTTATATTTGTGTATTGATATTCTCGTTCTTCGAGTTAAGAGAAATAGTTTGTTTATAAAATTCTGGTTATGAAATATATGAGAGATTCAATTTATTATTTTGGATCTGTGAGATTTAATTTCATTCCTTTGAAATTATTTTGAAACGGATCTTGGGTGGAGAATTGATCGAGTACACGGATCCAAAATGGCGGAAAATAGTTCGTACGTCGTATATCGCCTATTCTACTTTTGTATTGTATTAGATTATAACCCGGATTCGTGAATAATGATCCTTAGCTTTCTATTCTCCTTTCGTGAAAGTTCCATTGTCCCAACTTCTCCTCTCGGTGTACAACCGTGTTAAATAGATGACCTAATACGTTTAGTCCCACGAAATTATTGAATATAGAGGAATCGCGTTAAAGAGCAAGGCAAAGTTCTCGGGACACGAACTCGCGGCTCTGTTGCAAAGTAGGAAAGTTGACTTGGTTACGAAGGAAAGGTTTAATTGGAGCCGGGAAAGTTTGCAAGTTGAAACAGTTGCGTGACAAAGTTTAAGAGATACACGGGTGTAAGCCCGTGAATGAGAGGAGACTATACTTCACCGAGTGTTCACAGAATCAGAAGAAGTCGTTCAAGTGTTTGTCCCAGCACAAAGGATGGGAATAACCGTTCGTAGCCAAGTTCGAGTTGTAACAAATTGTAGCTCTAACTTTTGTGTCGTTTTCTGAAAATGTTGTTCTGGGGAATGTAGTATTATCGTATATCGTCTTGTCACTTCAAAATGTCAATATTCCGTTACGGCAACTCTTTTATTATCTGAAACGAAAAGAAAGAAATGAAAAATCGAATGAAAAAAAAAAATCGATTGAAAATCTTTTTAAAAATTTCTTACTTCAGATTTCACTTCAGTGTTTATCCATCCATAAAAAATATAGAAAAACAACAAACGATTTACAACTTTCTTCCTCTTAAAGCTTCGATAAAATTCTTAACGCAATTTTAAAAATATTTATACGAAACTTAATAAAAACCTATTTCGCAACAGATCTGTACGAGATATTATTGTACGCGAGATGAGATCTCCCTCCCTTCTTGGCTAAAATATTTTTTAACAACGGACTCGCAACGAGAGATCCGATAATATTCAAATCACTGATCCGAATTCCTCTATATGTACATATATATCACGTTCTACCGATTCTTTTCAACCAACGGCCGCGATTCCGCGTGGAAATTCACACTTCGTTCAACAGCTGATTCAGTTTTTTCGTTTCGCCGAGCCGATCGCCGAACCGCGAGAAATTCCGCCAATTTGTCCGCCGCGGATCATCGAGTGTCATCGAGACCAAACACGCTTCCAGCATGCGCGTGCAAGCCTGCTTTTCACACAAATCACCAGCATGAAACGATATAACTTTTCCCTCCAAACCAACCACGAATTTATTCTTCCACAGAGAGGGGAATTCCTTCGAATATTTGGTCTGTCTTCGATCGATTTATCCCCGACAATGATCTTCTTTTTTTAAAAACGTGGCGGGATGATCGGTGGTTAATGGGGGAGGATTCGAAACTTCGAAGGTTCAAAGAGGAAAAGTCGAGTGAGAGGTTATGGGAGAAATATCAAAAATCTGCATGGATCGTTAAAATTGACGTGATGTTGTTTAGCTTGATCGAGATTTTCGAATGCTCGTGGATATGTTCGTGTCGTTTTTTCTTTTTTTTTTTTTTTTCGAGATTCAGTTCTTCAGTTCGATCCTTTCGAGATTAATTTATTTAAGGAATAAGAGAAAGATTGATTGTTAATTATGATATATACATATATATATTTTTTTTGTGAAAGGGATAAGGAGCTATGCTCTTTGAATTCAAGATTAAAGTAAAATATCAAAGATATAGTTGTTATATACTATCACATATGTACAATCATGTAATAAATTATATTGCCATATAAAATATCACAGTTAAAGTATCAAATACACTATAATTGGAATAATATTCGCCATTATTGATCAATAATATCTTCGAAACTCGTTGTCCGAACATTGTCTCGAAAGGATTAAGAATTAAATGATTCTTCAAGTTTTTTTTTCAATAATAATGTCGACGATCACCGAGGAGCCTGAATTGAACGGTCCCTAGATTTTTCAGTTGATATCGCAATTCCCACCACCAGTTTTTCCCTGTCGCTCGCGCATCGATAAATAGCTGTGTACATGTATAGCCGTTAATTAAACAATTCGACACGACGGCGCGCACCAGATGAAAACTGGTGATGGAAAATTGCGGGGACCGCGGATATTTCCGCGTTGCGACCATATTTTCCCGTCGATCAATCGCTACCAGTTTTATTACTCATAAATAAGGGTGGCCATTTGAACGCGTTGAAATCGTTTGTTACATATCGGGTCTTCCTCCGATCCACCGATCATCGCGCGACACGTTTTCACGTGATTTATGAATTTTCGAACGTTCGAACGACGAAACGGCGAGAAGTCGTGATAACCGGCGACGAATAAACTCGACGGGCGGTGAAAATGATGAACGAGGGAACGATTTTATCGCGATTTTTTTTTTTTTCGATCGATCCACTTGCGAAAGAATATTCTCGTTCGATTTAAAGAAAAAAAAAAAAAGGGTGGGAAAGAGAGAAAGAAGATTTGTATTTTCGAAAACTTCGAAACGATGGATCGAACGAGGACGATCTTTATCGCGTGGAGATTTGAAAAGATGGCTCGAAACATGGAGAAATACGAATCTGGAATCTCGATACAATCGATGGAACGAGGAGATGGATACGAATAAATATGTCAGGTATAAAAGATGGCCTCGACGAGAGTGGAGAAGCGCGCGTTTCGGTTTCGAAATTTGATCGAAACGCGATACTTTGATCGGGGAAGTGGGTGGAAATTCATCGAGTCGCGGAAACAGTGGAACTATTTCTCTCCTCCCTCCCCCCTCCTCATGAAACGAAAAAAGTCAAATCGATCCTTTCGACGCTGTTATTCGTCGATCATCGAATTCGAAGCATCGAGTTCGAGGCATATCGAGCGAAGTGTACGTAATCTCTCGAATCTTGTATCTCGCGAAAACGATTCTCACTTTCTATTTCTCGCGAATGTTTTATTTGCAGATGAGAGCGACCAGTTTCTTTTCGGCGGAATGAAGACGAGTGTTCACTAATATTCACTTTTGTGAAAACATAGCTCGGTGTTAAATGCTATGAATGTTATAATTATCGAAATCTTCACGAAAGAGACAATTTAAATTTTCTTGAATTATCGAGTAATCGTTCTAATCGCGAGGAAAATAATTCGACAAAAAAATAAATAAAACGAAAAGCAAAAATGTGCGAATAGAGAAAACGCGTTAAACGTGTCGAAAGAAAAATACGAAAATATTTAGAAAAATACGTAAAATAAGGAGGAAAGGCCGAAAAGATACTGGTTGGCGTAGAGGTGGAATTGGAAAAAGGAAGCCAAAACTAACATTCGTGATTTTTATTTTTTCCAGCGTTTATTACGACCCGTTCCTAGCAGCACACGCGGCGACACAGGATCCCAACTACAGGCTACAGGTGAGACACGAGATTTTCACTGATTTTCCGCCGGAAATTGTCGCCGGTGCTCTGTTTCCGGGGGCTCGAAGCGGCGACGAATGAGTTTTTAATTAAATCGAGCAATGCCCCTCCCCCGCCCGGGATTGAAACATCAGCGCGCTTAATCGATCACCTTTCAGACGTTGCCGGCAGATTATCGGGAATTAATTGATAAACGAACGTACGGTTGAACGTTGTTTGTGCGAATTTTCCTCCACGATCCGAGCCGAGGCGAGGAGAAAATTGAAGAAAATTTCAGGATCGCGAGCGGCGACCTGAAAAATCGAAATTATCGATCATTTTCCACGCTTGGAATATTTTAACGTAGTTAATGTTTGGTTCCATCGAATTTTTGGAATAGTGATTTAACGTGTGACTGCCACGAAATCGATGACCTATATTTAACATGCCGTTGCAAAATGGTCAGTCATTGAAATTTAATAAAGAATTATGATTTTTTTTGTTTGATATAACAATAATTTAAACTATTCGAAGATGCGTTAACATTAATTATATTTTTTGATAAAATTATCCAATTATTATTTCCGTTAATGTTCTATGAGCAAAATTTTATTTCTTTTTTCTTTTTTTTTTTGTTTATAGTATTTTTTAGTTTCCTTGTTATTTTTTTTAAATGTTTTTGCTACGTTTATAAAATTAACAGTCTAGATATTGGTAATATATGATTTTCAAATTAAAAATTATCAAAGACAATGATCCCACTGTAAAAATAGCCTTTGTATTCGGCGAAACGGTTTCAAACAGGAAAACGGTGTTTCCACGTGACACAATGGAAAACCGTCGAACGTTCTTACCCCCTCTAAGAGGGTTCATTGTTGCCTCTAAAAAAGCTGTCGTTCGATCGATTCTCAGCCACTCGAAACATCCATCGTCCATCGCGTCCCGGAAACAGAGCGCACGATAGATATCTTGCAAAAAAGAAAAAAGAGAAAAGAAAAAATAAAAAGAGTTGAAACAAACAGCAACAACGAAAAACAAAACAAAACAAAACTAAACGCAAAAAAAAAAAATAATAATAATAATAACGATAAAAAGAAGGGGAAAAAAGATTTAGAAAAAAGAAAGAGATGTAGAACAAAGAGAAAAGAAGGCACAGAAATATTGACTAAAGTCTGCAACTGTTCCGGACCCGTTTAGCTGGAATGGCCTCAAGCAACAGCTGACGTTAGTTGACACGTTTTGCCAGGCTTGCACACACGTGAAACGCAGAGAGCCCGATAACAATTACGCCATCCCTATCTCGTTTCTACGTTCTTTCATCTGCTGTCATTCTCGTCCGTTCTTTTTTTTTTTTTTTTTTTTTTTCGTCGCTCGCCTGTTCGTCCATTTCTCCTCCTCCTTTTTCTCTCTTTTTCTCTCCCCGTTTCCACCCTCTCTCGTTTCTCTTTCGTGCTTTCCTCCGTATCGTACCGCGAAAAATCCACGGCGATTCCCTCGCTCGGACGAGACAGAGAGAGAAAAGAGGAGAAATTATGAAACAGAGGAGAGAGGAATTGCAAAAGAGCAGACACAGGAAACGGGTAACGACAGATATCGTTTTCGAGCTTTCGAACCCCCTTCTCGACAGTTCGCCCGATTCGCCATCGAGCGAAATGAAAATTAATTTCGAACAGCGCGCCAACTGTCCTCTTGTTTCGTTATAAAAATCCGAGCACGATAATATGTAGATATAGGAAATTCGAAACGAGAGAAGATATTTTTTTTTCTCTCTCTTCTTTTTTCCTTTTTTTTTTTTTTTTTTTTTGGAATTATTCGATACGTTTGATTTGGAAACAGGAAAGGATGGGGTGAGATCGTTGCTCTTTTGCGATTTTGGAAAATATTTTGTATACATACCTCGAAAATTCGATGATACTTCGACACGTTCTGGCCAATTTCGCTTAAAAATTCGATGGTTTTAATAATATTTCGGATACAAACGATCAAAATATGTGGTAAAATTTGACTAATATTTGAAATATCGAGAGATTCGAATTTCGGTCGAACGTGTCATTATCTTCGATCACGAAAACGTGAAATTTATCTCTCTGAAAAAATTCTACTATCCCGTGATCGTTCTGGCAAGAGACGTTTTATCTTTATATAGAAGAGAATAGAAAGAAATGTAAAATGAAAAATTAATATCCGCGTATTTTATACACGAGGGGAGAAATTTTTTTCGAAATATTAAAATATAATTTAAATTTATTAAATTTATTTATTACTTTTTCAAAATCAACCCTGCGAGAAAATGTCTCTTCCGACAATCGCATCTTATCGCGTCGTGCGGCATCTTGTTGCATTTTGTCGCCTGATTTCTCGCGTCCACTCATCTTTCGCCTCTTTCTTTTTTTACATTCGCTCATTTTTCTCACACATTCATTAGAAATAAATCCTGAACACGAAATCGATTTTGCTCCCACCGAAAAAAAAGAAAATTAAACACAAACGAAGATATATTTGTTTCTAGGTTATGTTAAACAAATTAATTATAAGAATATTAAATGATCGACCAACGACACCAACGATTCCAACAATTCCTCGTTTAAACGCGACGTCATATAAAATCGCCCATTTTCCTTCCCCCCCATCTGGCCGGAATTTCTTTTCAGGTTTGCCGTTTGTGTTTCAGGCTAAAGCACCCGCCCTGGAGGTAGGAATTTTAAGGGTCCGCCCTGAGTGAATTTTCTTCGCCCGTTGTTTGTCTATTTTTTTTGTTTCTTTCTTCTTTCCCTTTTTTTTTTATTTGTTATTATTATTTTTGAGTAACATTTGTTCCTTTTTTTATTTTCCTCTCCTGTCTTTTTCTTTTTTTGATGATTTTTCTCATTTGGACCTGGTCGACCAGGAGTGCTCACCGATCGTCGTACCGCCATCTTGTGTATCCGTATCACACTTTTATTTTCTGTTATTCTCTGTTAGAATGCCGAAAACGATTTTCCCCTCTTTTTCTTTTCATTCTTTCCCCTCTTTTCTTTATCTCAGATTAAATTAAATCTATTCTTTACGCTTTTTCCTCTGTTCTGCGCATCTACCCTCGAATGTTTAATATTTTCCTTTTTATCTCTTGTTTTTGAATCAATGTAATGCATGCGATTGGTAGTTTTTGTTTCTAATTTTTTTCTTCTTATTATTATTATCGTTTCTCTCTTTTTTTTCTTTTTCCCCCTTTATTCATTAGATTTTTTAATATTCTATTCTTGGATTTGTTGATACGCTTTCACGTAGACATACGCGATTTATCGTACTATGAAAATATCTAGAGTACATAGGAAGTAATGTGTGTATTATATATAATGTGTTCATCGAAGAAAAAGAAAAATTTCTCGCCGACGACTGCAATTTTCCAGAACAAAAATCTCGAATCGTTGTTAATGAATACTCGACGATATTTTACTTTCGAAATGATGCAGACGCACGCAATGTTTTCCTTTTCATTCTCTTCATTCTTCTCCTTCCACCTACACTATTATATCCATAAGACGCTTCAAAAAAATTTTCCTTCTCAAATTTTAATATAAAATCGAAATTATGATATAAATCTTGAAATTCCAATTCGTAACAACAATATTTGAATTGCATTGCAACATGTTAACTTTGTTGCCATTAATTTTAAAATTGTCAAGAAAATTCGAAAAGATCTCTCCCTGTTTCTGCATCCCCCTTCCCCCACTAACACGAAGATCCAACGCTGCAATGGCTGCTGCAATCGGTGAGCACTCCGCAGAGCCGGCGAGTATCTTAGAAAGAGTTGTTTAGCTAGTTTAGAATTGCTACCAAGTTCAACCCAACCGCCCCACATCACACCCCTATGGCAGACAGATTCATCCTCCCTCGAAATTAGTTTCTCCACCGGCGACTTAATCGAGAACATGTTAGCCACCTCCGCCTCGAGTTTGCCTCTCGAGGGGGTGGTTCTCGAGCTTTTGACGAAAACCGGCGCGGATGTAGCGATTGTTGAAATTCCGGATGCTCGATGACATCTCGAGTGTCTAGTCGAATAAACTCTCATCCTCGTGGATTCGATTCTCGAAACGTTCGAGCCGTTCAATCCTCGAGAAATTCCATATTTGTATAATTAAAATTTCGTTACTTCTGCAAGTTTTTTCTCTTTTTTTTTTTTTTTGAAATTTATTGGAAGTTATATAGGTCGGTTTCGTTGATAATTGTTTCGAGCATATCGATGACCACAGAGGGAAAGTTTTTCATGTTAGAAACATTCCACCCACTTAGTTCACCTCTCACGTGTATATACGTACACACACATACGTAGAATCTATAAAGTTTCGAGAGAATTATCAGATTCTTTTTAGTAATTTCAATTTTTGTTTTGTGTAGTGAACGTGTTCTTTTTTTTTATTTACGTGTACATAGGAGGCATGCCTCTTTTCTTTATGAATAGATACGCGGTTATTGGAGAATTTTTAGTGTACGTAGAATGTTATTGGATCTTTGAAAATTAATAAGGAAAGAAATTTCAAGTATTCGGATATTTTAATTTTTTATCTTTACTTTTTAAAATTAATATTTTTATCATTGTCGTAATTACGACGTGCACGTATTTTTAAATCCTAAGTTATACTTATTCGAGTTATATTTATTTACGAAACGTATATATGTAAACGTTAAAGGAAACGAGCAATATTATTGAAATTATTATGTTTCTCGTCTTCTCGAAGGAGAATTCTGTATATATACACACACACAATATATATATTTCCTTTATATCTTTGTTTCCTTTGGAAACATTCCTCGATCGAACACCGACACCTACAGATAGTAGGAGGATTGAACTTAACCAATTTCGATTAAATTCTAAAAAACGTACGCGAGTTAAAAAAACAAACACGATTAACGTCACCACTCTGGATCAAACAAATTTTCATTTAAACTTGAACCAAGTTCTCTTCTTAACTTGTTAAACGCACATACACAAAAAAAAGAAAAATAAAATAAAATTTGAAGAAACGCACAAGATAAAAAAGCAAGGAGCACGATCGACGATGATAGGTTAGAAAAATCGTTGTAAATTCTCCAAAGTCACGCGGCCGCAGAATTTCCGGTTGCTCCAACGATTTCGACTCCCTATTTCCGGCGGGGGACCAGAAACTCGCCTTGGGCACGGATCTGGCCGCAGGGAATCCTGGTTGTCGGCCAGGATTTACGAGCTCCACGGGAAGAGAGGCAGTGGTCCGCGTGGAAGCCTCGTTCTTCTCTCCATAAATCAACGTCGCGTCATTTCGCGCGTCCGACAACTTCATTCCGGGTATTTTGCTGGGCTTCCGTCTTCTGCGCCCTTCGTTAAGCGCGATAATTATTATTAGGAGAGGGAGGGGAGGGGAGGGAAGGGATGTTGGGAACTTAAAAGTCTGTTTCGAGAATGAGGGATTTAGGTGGATCATTGAACGAGTCGTATCGACGACAGATTTAAATTGATGTTAAATTGGCTGCGTGGGCTATGTTTGTGTGTACTTTTTTTAACGAAAGAGTAATTTCTTGTTTAAAAGTTTACGTTTCGTCAAATGTATTTCGTCACAAATATTTTTTAATCATATATTGTTGTTATGACGATGTTAATAATAATATTTTATTCGTGATGTGTTAAGTTAATATTTCGAAATGGCAGAGAAATCTAAAGTTTTTTAGCACTTTTCGTTGATCATCCTTTTTTTAGAATAATTTAGAGGATTTCTAAATTTTATACAAAATTTGCATGAGCTTTATAATTTTGATTTCGATTAAGAATAGTAGTATATATAATGAATAGTGCGCAAATAATTTTTGTTTGTAGACAGAATTAAAAAAAGAAAGCAAAAATAATATATCCAATCTCTCTTTCCAATGATACAGTATATTTATTCTCATACCTTACTATCTCAATAAAGGCACAGACTATTTTTCCAATTATTACATAACGATCTGTAAATACAAATTTTTCCCTCGAGAGCCAATAATAATCATTAGCAGCAGAACCACGAAAGTGCTCGTGAAATCGCTACTCGAAATTCCGCGTCGTCGCACAAATTCTTCCAACCAATTACAACGGCCATCGGCTTCCAATTTCCAAGTCGGTTTGTACGTAAAGTAAGCAGCGATCTCTGGGTGGCTGTGGAAAGGGATCGAAGGGGGACGAAGGGGAGCAATTATCAAGGCGCGTTCCTCGTGGCTAGCGGTGAAACATTGCACATCGGAGAAAAGGGGAGATCGTTAACGTAACATCTGACCCGTGAACCGACGTAAACCGTGAGATCTCTGTTTCGTAATTTCGAAAGGGGAAAAGGAGGGAGAAAAAAAAAAAAAAAAAAAGGATCGGCGGAAAAGTGCGCAACGGACGCACTTGATCTCCACCCCCTCGAAAATAACCGAGAGCCTGCGGGATATGCACTTTATAACCGCGTGGAAATTAAGTATCAACTTGCGGCATCAACATCGAGAAAAATTTTAAAAAGCATCTCGTTAAACATATTTTTGATTCGATGGAAAAAAGTTCGAAGCTTTATTAAAGTTAATAAGCGCCATGTTTAATTCGTTCTCGGGTTCTGTAAATATTGAAACTTTGTACTTCGTTTAACTTTCTGGAGTGTCTATAATTTTAACCGAGTGAAGTGGATGAATCTTACATTGGTCGGACATTGGAGAGAGATGATTCTTGATTGATATTGATCAGATACATCCTGAATTCTACCAGACAAAGTGATCGGGAATTTCTTTTAAAAGATTGTAGATTTTTTTTGTACGTTTACAATTTCATTTAAGGATTTCTTTTTTAATATTTCAAAATATGACTAATAAAATAATTGAAATAAATTAGTTTCAAATCTGACTTAATCAACAGAAGGAGCTTCTATTTCAATTATTCGAGATCCTTACAAAATTGTTTGCCAATAAAAAAAAAGTATAACCAAAAAAATAAGATTGTAAAAATGCAATATTCCAAAGATCACAATTCCAAAAAAAAAAAAAAGAAGCAAACAAATAACATCAGAGAACCACTTTCAAAGAACTAACCAGTATGATACTCGTGGCGAAACCACCCACGGGCGGAACACGCTGCTACACCCCAATAACGATATCAAACAAACCTCCGGGCTCCATAAAGCAACCTAACGAGGCTCGTTCCACGTCAGACCCGCCATTTTCCAATCTCTGCTCGGGCATGTGGGAAGGCGGTCGAGTAATAAGTTGCAGGATTTCAAGGAACGTTAAATAATTTCGACGGCTAAACACAGGTGGAGAACCAGGCTGGACCGACGAGTGTCACTTGACCCATATACCGCGAAATATCTCGGCCGAAAATCAAGCAACGTAGAACGTGTCTCGTATTTGAAAATCAACCGTGTGACCCAGAAACTTTTTCCTTCCTATTTTATTTTTCTATTTTTTTTTTTTTTTTTTTACGTCGGCCATGGATATAGCTCTTTTCCGTTGTCGCGCTTATCACAAGATTCAGAAGTTTTTGGCACTATCGAAACCGTGTTTTCTCATTTTCTAATTCATCTAATTAAAGAATATTGAAAATTATATTGATATAACGAAAGATTAAGGAGAGTTTGTTTGATGCGATGGAGCGATTTTGATGAAATGATTTTATTTATATATATATATTTTTTTCAAATCTATTCATTGATTAATCGAGAGTTTGTAATTTTGTTTGATAATTTTTGATTTCGTTTTTAATTTTAAAGAAATTTCGCAATGATTGGTTGGAAGTATTCGTGTTTGCGAATTTTACTAAAGAATGTCTAAAAATTCTCTTGAAAAATTTCAGAATATCTCGTACAAAAGCGATTAAATGAGATTATTTTTTTTTTTTTTTAAATACTAAAATGCTTAGTACCAAGCACAATAATTGTGCAAAAGTTTATGATTTATGAGAAGTTTGCCGAATACACGCATCGCGAAAGAAAACAACTCGGTTGGTAGTCATTAATCATCGCGACATGAAAAACTTTCCCTCATTTCGGAAGTAAACGTTCCATCGTTGAAGGTGCACTCTCAACTTTTCCTTTATGCGACAAGAGCTCTTTGTGCGTCGATCTTGAAAGCGTCGATTATTCGCAAAAGATTATAAATTTCTTCTGATTGGAACGAGATTCTGGAAAATTTTCATCCAAAAAGAAAAAAAGAAAAATCACGCTTCTGAGAAGATTCGATTCGTTTCAGATCCCTGAAACTCATGTACAGTTAATTAAAAGATTTCTAATCTGCCAACCTTCACGTTTCATTAGCGAGAGAACCAGGCGAATCGTCCAGCTTCCAGTCAATGCTAACGATTCCATTTCAGGAATAGTGGGAGTTTTCTTTGATGGATAATATGATTTCGGAATTAGAAAGAAGTTTAATAAAATGGGGCAGAACTAAGGGGCGGGATTTAATTTCAGTTGCATTTAAGCGCTCTTCGAAAGATGGAATAAGATCGGTTTCATTCCGTCGAATGGATAATCAAGAGGAATGGATATATACTTCAATGTATACGATGCAAAGAAGTATTCGATCTATCCATTCCTTTTAATAACGATTAATTAAAAGATTCCTACTTATTTTTTTTTTTTTTTTTTACTGAAAAAATGTGAAATATGGGTTGGAAATTTTATACATTTTTACGTATAAAAAGAAAATGTTTAATCTAATTTATACCACGTCTTGAAAAAATATCGACGATCCGGTGATACAAAATAATAAAATAAGGTAAAAACGTTTTGAAATGTCGCGATAGAGAGATATTTTTAGAAGAGATACACTTGCACTTTAGATGCATGCACGTAGATTTCGCGTTTCCACGGTAATAAATGGCATACTTGGTGGATATGTCTTAATCTCGACGTGAACATCGATACTTGGAAGCCATGTTCGGAACAGTGATTATCTCCTTACCAAAAAACAAGTTTTTCTTTCCATTTTACGCAAAATTTTGCGTAATCGTGTTGCTATTCATTCGCATTATAAAATTTACTCGAAAACCCTTTAGCTAATGTTTAATATTATGACATTATCGTGACATTATTATATTGCAGAAATCGATTTCGACGAGTAAAAAAAAAAAAAAAAAAAATACATACGATCATTCTCGCATCATTCTCTGTACATAAGTCACGCCTCCTTGAGCTTTTGATCGACAGAAAGCAGTAGCTTCGAGAACCACATTTAGCTGAGTGCTCGAAACTTTTTACTATCTGCACCGTGGTGTATGGATGAAACAGTTCTCGTTGTTCAAACAACGCTCCAAATAAAAGTTCCCGACTGTGTAAACAAGGGTAGAGAAAAAATATATCGCAGATGAAACGATGAACGACAACCCGGCTGTCTCATCCATACGTTTTATAAACGCATCCGTAAAAATCCTTGCACGCGATGAGCCCTTGGAATTTCCTATGATTCAAAGAATTGAAAGTATCCTCTCATTCCCCCAACCTTTGTTTGTACAAGGAAAACCTAAAGTTTCCATTTCATTGTTCAAAGATTGTAAAAAAATGGATAGACAATTTTTATCCTCTTCCTCCCAGGAAGATAAAAAATTCTCTTCTCTATCTTTATAAGATAATACACAAGTATTGCGATCAAAATACTTATCTATTCGCAAAGTAACGAATCGAAATTCCTTGTTCCCCCGAAAACTGTAATCCTAACCTCTACGATCGAACGCTGGGGCGAACGCCCTCCCCCGTGAGACGTAACGAATACCGGCGAAGCGTGCAAGGATGTTCACGTATAGCGAGAAAAAGGACGCGTTAGTACCGTTTCTCCGCTAGGAAATTCCTGTCTGGTCTCTGTCTTGGAGCTTGCTTGAGCCTTGCATGGCGGGTCATGGTTCCTGTTTCAGGCCGCGGCAGCAGCAGCTGCAGCGTCACCATTGCTGAAGACGCCCCTCTCGACGGCGCAGCAGGCCACCTACGCAGCTGCAGCGACCTACACGGCAGTGGCTGCGCGCGCATACAGCGCAGCTGCAGCTGCGGCACAACCGGTCGCAGGATATGCCGCAGTCGCGGGGTAAGCACACCACACTACTCCCTTCGCATACCTTCTTTGCCGTTATCCCTCGGGCTCTTTCCCGTCTTTCAATTCTCCTTTCTTGCCCTTACGGTCTTCCTCACGCTACGAATCTACCTAGTTCTTTTCTCCTCTTTCCTTTCAAAGCGCAATTTTTAAAAGCGCAACGATCGATGGAGATAGGTTAGATTCCGAACGGGATTGACGATACATACGGGATATAAAATATTTGAAGATCGTATCGATATTTGGGATTGTATATAACGTTGAAATTTCACCTCGTTTCTCGTTCTTTCTATTTTTATTTTTATCTTGGGATATAAATAAAATTTTTCTATTGCAAAGCATAAATATTTTTCTATTGCAAAAGAATCCGTAATTACGTAATTGGACCGTAAGGGATAGAAGAACAATTAATGAATGCGCAAATGTCGTATGATCATATTCTTTGAATCCAACTTCAGACAGTCTGAAAAAGAAGTGTATGAGGAGTCCGTTTCTTCCGGTCGGACCCGTCGTCGTGGCCGAGCTCTTAGGAGTCGCAGACACCTCGAAAGTTATCGTCCCGATGATGACACTCCTGTCAAAAAACCTGATAGTTCCACTGAAAATCCTTAGACAAATCCTAAGTTTGTATATATATATATATATATCCTTTTATTTGTTTAATTTTTACACCTATCAACAAATGTTTGCATTATTCATAAACGTGAACACATTGAATGAATGATAAGGCGGATGTTTAACACGCTTCCGCATTAATGTTACAGTTATGGGCGTGAATACGCTGATCCCTATCTTGGACATGGTATTGGACCAGTAGCCGGATATGGGGTAAATGCAATTTTAATTTCTCAAAGTACAAACAATTGTACATACTTTACATTCCTTCAACTTTTGAATTATCCGAATTGATAACTTACAATAATCGATTACAAATGCTTTAGTCTTCAAAATCTAAACTTAACGATCGACAATTTACAAGAACTTCGGTACCAAAGTTTCGCCGCAACTCCCCTTAAACGATACGAAGTAGAAATTAATTCAATTGTTCCTTTCAAATAGCTTTATAAATCAAAGTTGTAAACAATTGTCGAGATACCGAAGTTCAGTTTTCAAGAAATTCTTCAGTCCACGAGACGTTGCGTCAGACGCCTATGCTTCGATTCCATCCACGAAACAAGCATCAAAGACGTTTCATGCACGAATGCCTTAATCTTACTTTGCCCATTGCACGAGACTGTATATATATATATACTTGAAGCGATACTTGGTCGCATACGTGCATCTCTCCAACACGATGCTTCGTGGATAATATTGCGCCTCAAATTAATAAATCAGATTTGTCTAATCTCGACTAATTGAGCAATGAATTTTTTTCACAGGCGACCGTGTACAGGGGCGGTTACAACAGGTTCACGCCATATTAAAGATGGTCAAATATCGAAGCGCGAGCCTTCCAAGTACACCGTCGTTGTACTCAGCTGAATGTGACCAGAACAAACAGAAATCGACACAATCATCATCGTCATCCGCCATCGATCACGATCACCCCACGAAGCGATGCCTGGATCCTCCGCGCATGCTGACGCCAGCCTTCTTCGTAGCACCGATACGTCGACTTTGCCTCCCATCCATCCGGAAAAGAAGCAAAATTTTCCCTAAAAGAAACATCCGGCCACTGTGGACGAAGTTCCAACGAAGTCCAAATTACCGAGTCGACTCATCACGAACAACTATCATTCGCAGAAGCAAAGAAATTGGAAGAAGGAAATGGATATATAGGTCGCGCACGGTTTCAGGATCTTCGAGAGGAAGAGAAAATTGGCGAATTATTGCGGATGAGAGTAATCGAGTAGATAGACGATTGATAGAGAAAAAGGTTAAAAAGATAACGAAAAACGATAATAGAATGGTTTGAATTTAGATGTAAAGTTCTAGTTACTCCTCGATTAGGGTTGCGAAACGGTCGACCAGACGACAAAGGTCCATTCGCCGAAGCGTCGTCGAACTTTCGAACCCTGATCGATAATCGGCGTAGAGAAGAGAGGGATGGTAGAGACGGGGGAAATTGGTAAACTGAATTAGCAGACAAAGAGGAACCGGTTAAATTGAGTTTCGCTCGAAACATGCTAAACATTGGAACAGGTTCGAATCGATCGTTTTAAAAAAAAAAAAAAAAAGGAGGGGAGGGGGAAACGGTAAACGATAATGCTGGATCAGAGTTGTAAGAGTTTATAGTACGAGAAATTCTTTCGAAACATTCTTGATAATTGTTTAGTCGAAATTCACGTGAGGGAACCGTGTGTAAAGGCATCGCGTCGTTAAATTTATCCATTCGTATATACGAGTTCAGACCCGGCAGCCATTTCGATTTATACGAAGTTGAACGACGACGAGAGGAGGGAACGTGTCGAATATTGCCGGTGTACGTGTATATATATTTGTGTATATACATATATATATATATATATATATATATAAATATAAGTAAATAGATATAGATAATTGATCTCTCTAGAAATCAATTGTAATTATGCAATTCGTTGCTCGTGCACGTTTCTATAATCGTTGGGGGAGACTTTTAAAACGCGTTTCCGGGCAAGGATTTTTATCACGAAATGAAAATGGGGGTAATTTTTAATCGCATTACACGTTACTCATCATTATTGTACGATAATTTCACGCGAAATCCGAAAGTGGAAGAAGGGAAATGTTGAACACGCATATACACACAAGGAATTTTGTACATAATTCATAATTGATTTCGTGGTTGGGGAAGCGGAATACACGCGACACAACGATCACAACACAGAGAGAATTTTGAATCAAAGAAGCAAGAGCGATCGATCGTTGCTTCTCTCATATTTTTCTTTTCTTTGTTCCGTTTTTTTCTTTTTCTTTTTTTTTCCTTTTCCTTTGTCTTTGCATATATAGAGGAATCATTTTTTTTTTTTTTTTTTTTTTTTTAATCAAGTATCGGAATCGAGCGAAGGATTCTCGCGGGATCTTTTCTAATTACGAAAAATCGGGAAACACACCGATTGTCGGACGCGACGATAAGACGAAGAAGAAAGGAGGAATTTCGCGCTAATGGCTGCCGGAAAGGAACTCTTCGCTTCGTGTCGGCGAGGTGAACGCGACTTCCGGTGACAAACGCCAGTCGACACTGCTCGGTGATCAGCGAGGATACGCGAGACCCTTCTTAGGTAGCTAGCCGAGGGAAAAATTAAGGAGGAGAGAGAGAGAGAGAGAGAGAGAGAGAAACGACGAGAGCGACGAAGCAGTTAGTTACGCGTGACCGGTAGGGTTTCTATGCCAAATATAATGTGTGTGTGTCTATGTTGCGCTTGTGGGCGCGCGTGTGTGTGCGTAGATTCGCGGCTATAGAGACGTAGAATAGTTAATATTCGATGGAAGGGAGAGAGAACCCTTTGGACGAACTCTGAGAAAGCAAGATTCTGGGAAACAGGATCTAGTCAAATCAGTCTCTACCGGTTCCTAATCGAGATTACGTCAATGTAACGCAGCTTTTTTTTTTTTTTTTCTGAATACTCAAGGCTTCGTCGATGCTCCGATGGGAAAGATGGAACGTGGCAGCAATTTTTTTTTTTTTTTTTTTTTTTTTTTTTTAGATGTGGATATTCTTTTGTTCTGTCTTTTTTATTATTATTATTATTATTACTACTATTATCTTTTTTTAAGGAATGGTCAGTTTTTCGAGGATAACGGAGCTTGTCGATCGAGGTTTCTACGCTCTCTTATTTTCTAGCTACTTTTTTGGTGGAGGAATTGGAATAGAAGTTAATTTTTTCTTTGTAAGTTATCTAGTTATATAATTATAAATATCGATTTCGAATAATTTTCTACGTGTTTCGTCATTATAATCTGGAATTATCATTCTACTCGCGAAATTCTTTTATGGAACATCGATTGATAGAGAGGGAGCGATTCCAATTCCTCAAAGTGTCGTCTGCACGCGATATATTCGTATTCTCGTGCGATAAATATGTGCGATAAGATGTTCGATCAAATTCGTGCAAAAAAAAAAAAAAAAAATTGTAACGAAGCTCGAAACGAGTGATCGAGAACGTTGAAATTAATAGACTGATCCTTTGAAACAATCTTTAGAAGAGCCTCCCGCAGGATACTCTGAACTTGTGATATTTCAAATATTGTTTGTCACCTAATAATTAACACCTATCCACCGAAGATATATATTTTACTCTCGTATAAACTCACTTACACATGTACATTATATTTTCATTATATTTGTGTTCAAGTTCCTCGAGTTTCCACCGCGTTCTCGATCACGTGGATCTGATCTAATATATAATTCGCTGTCTAATCCGCTTCTCGATCGATCGAAAAGAAATTAGCTATATTTGTTTTGTTCTTTTTTTTCTTTGAACATAATCATGGAAACAAATGGGAGAAAGTGGAAGAAATAGTAACGAGAGAAAAAGTGAGAGAGAGAGAAAGAGAGGGAGAGAGGGAGAGAGAGAAAGAGAGAGACTCACACACAAACACAGACACACATAAACTCAAAATACTCTAAGGCAGAGTATTTTGTAAAAAAAAAAAAAAGGAAAAAAAAATGAAACGCGAAAGGGAAATGGTACGCACATTGAGCCGAGTGAGTGATAATCCCTGTTAAAACAAAAAAAAGTTCTAGTTAAGTGGAGATTTATCGTAATAAATATATACATAAATAAATATATATATATATATAAATATAAATAAATATATATAGGTAAGTCGTGTTGCGTGACTCAACGTGGAGTGCAAGTGAAGAGGAATGCGAGTGGCCACGAGTGAATGAACTTGAGAGTGAAAGGAAGAAATGGAAAGAAACGCAGGTGAGAAAAGGAAACGAGACATAAAACGCGAGAAACAAACGAGTTAAAAAGTGAAAGACACACGCGATGGTTATACGAAAAGGGAAAAAAAAAAAAAAAAATAGAATACAACACAAAGAATCGTGTGAAATAGCCAAATATGACAAATATGTTCTTTTCTTTTTTCTCTCTTTTTTTTTTTTTTTTTATTCTATTTCTTCTAATCTTCTTTTATTTTTTATTATTTTTTTTTTCTACGTAGATAGCGCGACAGGAATTAGTTACTGTCGCTGGATTACGTTTTAAAAATCTAAATCTATCGTTAGCATAGGTCACTAGGCTAGGGAAAAAAAAGAGGCAAACCGGCCGTAGAATTAGTTTTCTATGGTTCACCAACCGGAACCATAATGGCCGCTATGCGACAAAATCGTATATTCTGATTTTTCAATTTTGCGTGTGCGAGCGCCAGTACATGTAAATAATAACATTATTAACTATATATACGATTAGGGATCGACTTCGTAATCGATTTCGTCGAGCACAAAAAAAGGATTGGAAACGGGATACCGTTCCCGTTTTTTTTTTTTTTTTTTTTAATAACTTAAGGAGCTAAACCGAACAACTCAGAACATACTCATTGATTCTTGTAACGTTACAAATTATAAACGAGCGTAGATTTTAAAGGAGAAGCTATACAAATAATGGGATAATGAAAAACAGTGGGGGGGATAATAGAAGGACGACGAGGAGGGGGAAAAACACAAGATATGCTAGTGATATAGAAATGAAAATATTCGCAAAATAATTCCCCGAGAAGAGCAAGAGAGAAAGAGAGAAAGAGAGAGAGAGAGAGAATGAAAAATAGAGCGAAAGGAAAAGAATTCTCGCGCGAGATACGTTCCTCAAACGTGACGAGAAGAGAATTCCATTTTTCTTTTTTTTCTCTTCGAACCTTGTCTGTTGCGCGACAATCGTTCCTCTTCGAATGAGTACATTTTTCACACACACATACACACACACACACATATTTTCACAAAAGAGAACTCCCTGAGAGAACCTGATATTTATGCGTGCTCGAAAATGATATACGATTCGATAACGTAACGATATTGGAAAGGATACCCTCTGATTAGTGATTCGTTTGCAGAGGAACGTCGCGTTTTAGATTAGGGGGAACCAGGAAGCGAGAAAGCGGATCTATCCCTGTATATTGTACACTGTAATTACAATTTATACTTACTCGTAATCGATTACCTTTATCGGTAGGCTATTACAACTAGTGGCTAGCGTAAGTCAAGCTCAAAAATAGGCGAGACTCATCGTCTCCGCGTCTTATTCTTCGTCACGAGTGCACAACTCCTCTTCCCTCCCCTCCCCCCCCCCATATTTCCTCCTCTTGTTCCGGACTTTTATCGAAGCGTGTTCTCCGATTGCGTACGCAGGCCTATCGTATATATATATATATATATATATATGTGTGTATGTATATATATATTATCGATGGATACGCAATAATCGTCGCCATCGAGATGTTATCTTTCATTTATTTCCCTCTTCATTTTATTCGATTATTCTTTTTTTTTTTTTGTTTGTTTTATGCTCGAGGAAAATTTCGTCGACGATCATGGATAAAAAAAAGAAATACTCTTGCAAATATTCGTAACGCGTACGAGATTGATCGATGAATCGTGTAATTGTATGAGAGATTGATGAATATTCGATCGCAAATTTGATAATTTTAGTTTTAATTAAGTTAATTTATTCGCGACTCGCAAGGTCTGTTTGCGATATTTCTTGATACGTGAACGTATGGATGTTACGTATATAGGGATGTATTGTAACGCGGAGAAGCGAATTCGAAATATTCGTTGATATATTTTAAGAAGAATATATTACGCACGAAAAACATAAATCATAATTTAAATTCGGATACGAGTTTCTTAAGGAAATTCGAAAAATTATAATGATGTAAATAGTTACATTATCGGATCTTTAAAGAAAGCTCGCTTTTATCGCTTCCGTTCATCGAGATCGGATCTTTTGGATCTTGTTTACGTGTCACGAAATATCTTGTATATTTATCCGAAGATAAAGGGGGATATAAGTAGATCCAAGAATAATAAATGAATTCCTGTACAAAAGAAAATAAGAAAATTAGAGGTAGCCAGGAATAGATTAGAAATAGTATCTGTTTTCCAAAGTTTCTCTTAGAAGAATTTAGAATTCGTCTCGAAGATAGAAACACGGATACTAATCTTCTTCATACTTCTTCTAAAGAAATACTAATTTATATACATATATTATATATATATATATATATATTCGTAAAAAAAAAAAAAAAAGAAAGGAAGTGCTTCGCGACTTTAATAGAATCCTCTCTCCTTGCGAATTGTACAAAAAGAATAATCTAATATAATTAAATAATCGCATGAAACACTCACGATTCGATCGTCGATCACTTTCTTACGTGTAACAAAAAAGAAAAGAAAAAAAAATAGAAAAAAAAATTAATAACTAAAATTAATAACTAAAAGCGAAGCGAGTGATGGAACGAAGAAAAATTCCATCTCGTTCGACGAATTCGTCTCCCTTTTTTTTTTCCCGCTTGTTGTCATTGATCATTTATCATGTATTATTATCTTTTTCTTTCTTCAACCGCGTACGTTCTCGAGTGCTACTGCGGACAGTAAACTGGAATCGCATTGTAAAATAAATCCAATACGATCGATACGCACCGATTATACATAAATATAAATAATATTGATTCTACTATTAATTAATTAATTAATTAATTAAAGGCAGTAAAACCGTAAACGGGATTTTTAAAGAAGTGAATCTAGATGACTAACATGACTTACGTAAACGACACATCTTTACGAGCAACATATCCTAGCGTAACTAGGCGGCGTAACGTGGCCCCGTTCCGCTCCTAATCCTCCGCCCGTCGGAATCTCAAAATTCGCGCGCGTGGCGAACGCACATTTTCCTCCGCTCTCTTTTACTACTGGGATAATTCTCTCTCGAAGAGAATTGGACATTCTCTCGGTTCGTCTTAATTAATTTGAACGAGACAATTGGGCGCACTATATATACACATACAATCCACGCGGCAATCAACCGAGGAGGATTTCGAGCGCGACACGCGGCCATCTTCTTTTTTTCGAATTATCGCGAGGCAAATAGAGAGAGAGAGAGAGAGAGAGAGAGAAAGAGTGTGTGAGAGAGAGCGAGAGAGAGAGAGAGAGAGAGAGAGAGAGAGATGGACAAACGAGGAAAAGAAGAGAAAAGGGGAGAAAAATTAACAAATAAGGGATGTTCCATGACATTAGGGCGTTATTAACGATAATAAGTCTATAATTTAGAGAGTGCGTGGGTGATATTATGAAGAGAGCCGTGTGTTGAATGAGCGTGATGATGATTTTGGCCCTCGTCGAATCGGCGCGATTAGAAATAAGTTCTTGGATTCATTGGACATAAGGGGAATTATTATCAGCGATTGATCAGGGGGAAAGAAAAGAGAAAAGTTGGTGGGGGAACGGTGGTGAGAAATTGGCACGCGCGATTCGATGGTCGAAATACAAAAATGGAGGGTGATTAGTAATAACGTTTCGATAAACGAGGAAAAAGAAGGAGCAGAAAATGTGAAGAATGATATAAATATATATAAAAAAAAAAAAAAGAAAATTAATTACGAGATAGAGAACATCGTAAAAAAAAAAAAAAAAGCTAAATGCCACCTGTTTTTCGCTTCTCTCGCAGTGTAAACGGATTCGCAACGGGGGACGAGTGCGAACAGCCATCGGTTTCTGGTTGCGAATCCAACGTCTGAGGAAAAGAATTAAAAATGAAAAAAAAAAAAAAAAGAAATAATATGCTAATGTAGGCGTAAGAGACATTTGCGCCGAGAAAAACGCAGGAAAGTTGAGAATTACATATACTCACACATCCGCGCAAAAACACATTTACACGCGATGGAAATTCGAGAAGTATATCGATGAATCCGCAGGAAAAGAAAGCAAAAAAGTAAAAAAAAAATAAATAAATAAATAAAATAATGAATAAATAAGAATTAAATATAAAAACGTCAGGTTAAAGAACACAAAAAAAAAAAAAAAGAATCGAGAGAACAAGGATACAAGATCAACTCGAAACTTTAGTTGCAAAATACTGATAGGAGTACACGGGGTGTCGTTCGGAACACCTTTATCATTGTCTGATTTGATGATATTTTGTAAGTCTGGACCAGTTGTTAGGTTCTTATTACTCCCATAGCGACTTCTTATGGCGTATTTTCTCTGTATATTGTCAATGTTTATTATTAAATATTTTTCAAATAAACGAGTGTCTTCCATTTCCATTATTTCCATCCTCGAACTGCTATGTTCTTAAAAACTGCTAGTTTTTAAAAAACTAACAAAGAAAATTTAAATTATAAAAATATTAAGAAGAATAAATGCAAATTATTAAAGATCGTGATTTCGAATGAATATTAAAGTATAATATCTATATTTTTTACATTAAAGATTAAGAAATAGCAGTAATTTTAAAAGAGAAATGGAATTCACATAAAAAAGCTAATAAATAGTGGGAAAAAAGGTAAAAATAAATTGAAAAGTCACTCTTAGCGCCATCTCTCGAATACTCTTAGAAGCATATTTTTGGCATTCAGATGAGAGATGGCGTTGACGATCAATTTTTATTCTATCTCTATCCTTTTCCTACTATTTGCTCTCTTTATTTATTTAGTTTCATTTGCGGCACTCTGAAGATGACGCTGATTCCTATATTTCTTGAAATTGACTGTTGGCGCCATCTCTTTAATACTTTTAGAAACATTTTTAGTATTCGTATAGTTTAGTATTCGTATATAGATAAGAGATGGCACTAGCCTTCAATTCTTATTCTACATTATCCTGTCTTCAAAGTAATACTTTTAATATTCGATAGATGGCGCTGACGATCAATTCTTATTCTATCTCTATCCTTCTTCTATTATTTGCTCTCTTTATTTATTTAGTTTCATTTGCGGCACTCTGAAGATGGCGTTGATTTCCATATTTCTTAAAATTGACTGTTGGCGCCATCTCTTAAATACTTTAAGAACCATATTTTTGATAGTTAGATGAGAGATGGCGTTAGATTTCAATTCTTATTCTATCTCTATCCTTTTTCTACTATTTGCTCTCCTTATTTATTGAGTTTCATTTGCGGCACTCTGAAGATGGCGCTGATTTCCATATTTTTATTCTATTTCTGTCCTTCTTCCACTATTTGCTCTCCTTGTCTATCTCGTTCTATAAGATTTACAAGTTCAAGAAAGAGCTTCGATATCTAATTAATTCTATAATTAATCTATAATTAATTTTATTATTTTTAATAAATATCAAATATCATTTTATCAAATAAAAATATATAAAATATATTAAAACATATAAAAATAATATACGTGTATTAAAAATTAGGTTTAATTAAAATTCAATTTTATTTATTATGTGTACATAAATTTTTAAATATATATGAAATATGAATCTATAAACATTTCGATACTTGATCTTAATTCTTTTTAAAAAAAAAAAAGAATACATAAACTTACTTTATTTTAAATAAACGGAAAATATAATGAGTTACTATTTTTAAAAATAAAAAAAATAGATCTCGTCTTTGCAACTTACATTCAATTGTCAACTTTGCTCTTCAACTTCTTCAACAGTTTCGTCGTAGTTAAATTCCACACGACGTGTCTCGAGATGGAAAAAGAGGCTGACAATGAGATGCCAAGACGGCAGTCCAAAGGAATCCGCTTTTCTAGGACGGGTGAGCTTGCGTTTCCGGTGAAAGAAGAGTTTGCTGCCAGCAGGGCCCAAATCTTTTTTTCACCAGTGACTCATCGTATACATGGAATTACGATTCGCTCGTGTTCGACATTCGACTCTCTGATCTGTCAGTAAGCCGCGAACCATCAACCGGAGAGCACGCATGTTCCTCTCTAAAAGCGATGGCCGCGCACGTGCGTGACCAAGAATACCGATTCGAAACCGACAAGTGGTTCCTGGACTCTTCAGAAGTCGAGTATCGGATGAATAATCGCGTTTCGGGTGAAGATGTATCTTTTAATCCCTTTACACGCTTGAGATTTTTGGATTTATCTTTTTTTTTTTTTTTTACGCTTACACAGTTCTAAAATTTGTATATATTAGATATTCGAAAGATTTGAAATTGCATGAATAAAATTTTTTTTTTTTTTATTTATAAATAATCGCGTTTCAAACGAAAATATTTTCTTTTTAAATTTTCTACGCGATTCTTAGATTTTTTTTTTCTTTTATTTAAATTTAGTAAAATATTTTTAAATAGGATGTATTTGAAAAGTTTGTTTTTATCGTTGAATAAATAACCACATGTTTCAAGACAATGTGCATGTTTAGATATTTTTTTTCTTTTCTTTCATTTATTCTCAATCGTAAAATTCTTTAAGTTGATAATTAAGTTCTTTAATTATTTAAAAGAACGGCTAAATAAATGATATGGAATTTTTTTAAAGTTTAATATTTACAATGAATAACTAATTCTTTAATATTTAAACATGATCATTAAAATTCAAACAAATGTAAACACTTTTACAAATATACGTTACATTACAAATATACTTTAGTGCAATAGTGCAATAAAATTTTCTATTTTAGAAAATGTATACGAAACGATTAATCAAGGAATAACATAAAATATAAATTTTTTCATTCACTTAGAAAAAAATTTATTAAAAGAATCTTGTTTCTAACGTGTATCAGAATTAAGATACATTTTTATTTAAATATCAATTGTTTTTCTTATTAGTATGAATGGTTTTTGTATTAAATTTAACATAAAAATTATAAACTTTGATTTTATTTAATTTGCATGAATAAAATTCATATTGATTTTTTTGGGATTAAAAAAATTATTATTTAATTCAATATTATTCAATATAAATACAGCAACTTTGACACAAATATTTTTCAATACTTTTCTTATAATCTACATTAACTAATAAAATGAAAAAAAATATAAATTATCATTCTCTTATTCATATATCATCTATTATTCTATTATTCATAAATCATCTATTCGTATCCATAAACAAAAAAGATCTCAATTATTCGTAGATAAGATTTTACTTATCATTTATATATTCTTGAGCTGAAGACTAGATATGAGATAGTTTTTAATTACCGAAATTATTTATTAGTAACACATGTATATAGGCCTTTTTTATAATATACACAAAAATTAAATATTAATAAATAATTGAATTATATAATGTTATTCATTAAGATTTAATTTTTCCATACTATAAAAAAAAGGCAAAATTTCTATCACAAAAATTTAACACAACACTTACTTATCTAGTCTTCAATTACTTCAATATAAAAGTCGATTCGACAAAAATTCAACCTCAAAATTAATCTCTCAGCGTTTCATTAAAAAGCATCATCAACATAATACGAGTGCCTACAAGTTAAAACTGCAACATCGAGAATTTTAAAGAAACGAACTCGTGAATCGGGAGACGAAAAAAGTGAAGTTGCAAGTTCAGAAGCAAACTGTCTCACGAGGAAACGGCGAATAAATCATCTGTGACATAACAGAAACGCGATGGCAATAGAGTCACCGTATAAATTATAATAACGAGCCGCGTCGAGGAATTCCAACTGGGAGCACGTAAGTGTTGTTACTTAAAAAGTTAGCGTATCGTTGACTGGCATCCGTGAATTTTAATTAATTGTTTATTCAACGAGCTAACCCGATAAGAGCATATTACCATGTTAACGCGAATCTATTTAATTTATGTAGCATTTCTTTTTTCTTTTTTTTTTTTTTTACTCGAAAAGTAGACCGGTGGAACGAATATGTGACAGATATTTTTACGATCATCATTGAATTAGAGATCGATATTTATATTTTTATATTTTTATTTTGTCACGTGAATGATATTGGTGGCTATAAGGCTTTGATTATGTCGCCTTGAGATTAATGGACACTTTGCATGGATTTGTCATTGTACGAAACGCGCCACGGAAGCTTGAAGTATTAATTTAAATCGTTAAGGGGTGAGCCTTTTTCGTGAGGTCACTGTTAAACGCTATTCAATTCATCCTCTTTTTCATTACAGCTGTGAAATACTAATTTCTTTTCATTTCTAATCTCTCTTTGTGGAGATGGGATTCTGTTCAAATCTTCTTTGTGTCAGCATTTGTTTAACGAATATGATGAATAGAAAAAATTAGTTCAAATAAAATAAGAAAATATAATATATAATGTAGAAATTAGAAGAGATTTTATTAGATCAAGAAGTGCGAAATTGAAGAATAGAGATAATAAATAAAATAAAAATTTATATGATATAAATTATTATTTGGATTTTTTCCATAATATCCATTTATCCTTTTTTTTTTTACTAAATCATTTCACTATGAAAAAAAAGTCCGCAATTTTTACCTATTTTTTCATTTGCCACAAAAGCACGCGTGGAAACATAAGTTTGATTCGATTTCACGTTCGATTCGAACATATTTTTATCAAGCATAATCGAAAACTATTTGAGCATAAGATATTTTTGAAGCACGTAAAGCACACAGTCAAAAAACGATTATTTTTTTTACCTGAAATTAGATCATGCTTCCTGCAAAATAATTTATCGTTATGTCACGAATGAAAATAATGGAATACACTATTCTTGGCATTAATTGCAAAATGTAATACATTCTTCATTGAAGATAGAATTATACTTGCAAATATCCAAAAGAGAAATCAACATATTACATAAAAGTTGTATTAAGCTGTTTGTTAAAAAAGAATGTCAAATTAATAATCATACATCTGCCATCAAAATAACTACGCAAACATGAATTCCACACTTATCGTAAATATATATATATATAAATTAGTCATGCTTTCAATGTAACATGCACAATCATCAAATGCAAAAGGAGTATCTATCAGAAATTTTGATGATAAGATATATTGATGATTACATTAATCATTAATATTTTCTTATTAGTGTCAAAAAGACTAAGAAAGATAGATAGACGAAAGAAAATTGATTTTCAAGAGTATAAGATCCATAGAAAATTGTTGAAAAATTAAAGGAAACTGATATTTTTAGGTAAATGATAAAAAATTCATAGAATTTTATTAAAAATGGATTTCTGCAAGAGATACAAATTTCTACGAATTTTACCCACGAGACGTGTCGTGTGGTCCTGGAAAACGGAAAACGGTACGAATATCCAGTTCACCGAGAAGGAGACCATCGAAGAATGCCTCGTAGAACTCGTCAATATCTGGGTTTCGACGATCACGATTTTTATTGCGTTGATCATCGTTCTGAAATATAAATACAGTAAACAGAAGTAAGTTCAAGAGAGAAAAAATAAAAATTCAATTGAGATTTCAATTTCGACGATAGATCTTCGATAAATAGAGAGATTTATCATTTTTTATTATCTATTTATTTATCTTTATTTTATATTATCTATTTATATTATCACTATCGATATAATATAATTAGAAGTTATGTATGTGATAAGACATGTTTTCGAAAGTAACTTTCTAAAATAATATCTATTAGTTATTTTCTTGAATGTTTGAATATACATTATGCATTACATCGTTAATATTATATATATATATATATATATATATATATATATATTGTTTTACAAAATAAGTAAAATAAATAATTTATTAAAAATTTCGTGTTAAAATTAACATGAGAAACTTATATGAAGTTCTAATTTCAAGATGCAAGCTTAAAAGTGTGGAAATTTTTAGTGGAAAACGAGTAATTAATTAATTTTCAATATTATGTTTTCGAAAATGGTGGATAGTATTAGGAGCTACATAACCAAAGTTAGTGGCACATCTTTTCTATCCTTCTCGCACAATGTTGCTCTCCTTATCTATATATATGACGTCACGAATACCTCCTTGCATATCCTGCTTTGCTAGTAACGAGTCGAAGCTTCGAGTATCCAAACGCGAGATGGCTCTGATCCCTAAAATTTTTCGATTTACATTTTAAATTATGGACAAGATATACTTTATCGACAGTTTATAAAAAGATACGCATGAACAATTCTTTGATGTTTAGAAATGTTGAGAAATATCGTAAAATATTTTATGTATTCCAATATTTTGAATAGAAAAATTTATAAAAGTATTAGGATAACTAGGAAAAAGGAAAAAATTTATCTAAAACGTTAAATCAAGAAAAAGTAATCTTTTAACAAATTTGATTTAACAAATTTGATAAAAGATTTGTACATTATTTAATAATCTGATATATTACTTGATAATAGTATATCGAAATGTTGATACCATACATTCTTGAAAGTTAATGTTAAAACGATAAGATTTGACTATTCGTAATAGCAATGGTATTTGCTTTGGTTGTCACAATGCATATTGTTGAGGAAAACGTGTGATGAATGTTTAATTTGTATTTAAGAGGCTAGAACTTCGAGTTCAGCTAACACCAATTGAAGCAACCTTCAATTAAACGAAACTTTTCACATTTGGGATGTCCCATGATTCATATGGGACTACCATGTTTCATTCAACAATTTGTTTCAATTAATGTGATAAAAATTTCTCAAGCCTGTTAATTTCTTCGCCTTTACTTGACCCTTTTTACTATGGAATTATATTACAATTTATTTTTTAAGTGATGATTGATTGTAATTAAAAATCTTCAATAAGAAGAGATCTATAAAAAAAATTTTAAACAAATTAATTCTTTAACCAGAAAATGAGTAATTGGTATTCTTCTTGGGAACTTTATTTACCCATGTCAAACGTCTGTAACACCTTTCCATTTCTGGAAACAAGGCTGGATCTACAAAACTTTTATCTGTTTTCTATACCAAACTCGTTTCTATTGTTTCTTCCTCGTTCTACAAATAAAAAATATCATAGAAAATATCATACAAAACTTTGGAAATATTTTTCAATATTACTATACTTAAGGCATTATTAATGGTTTTCTTTCCAAACAAAAGATTTAAAGAATATCTTGACTCATTATTGAAGCTAAATAGATAAACAAAATCAAATATGAACTAAAATTTTAAATCTTATTCTATGTACATCCATAAAGATTATCAAAAAATAATTTAAAAAATATATTATTCGAAAAAAAATAAAAAAGCAAAATAAAAATTCAAATCATAATCACAAATAAAAATATAAATATTGCCGTTAATCGCGTAAATTAAATAACAAAATGCATGAATTAAATGCATAACTAAAAGGCTTGAATTAATTACCAGAATAATATATAACATGTGTTCATGAAGGGTATTCATACACCTACGTATACACATTTTCCCGATTTGCGTCATGTTGCGCGTTCGAAGAATTTTAATAAAATTAAATCAGATGGCTGCTCGATTATTTTCTTTCTTCTTCGCTGGAAAATCAATAAAGATTTCTTATAATCCCTTTAAATTTGACCAGTTCTTCTTAAGAAATTGTTCAATCCAGAAAATATTCCAAGAAAACAAGATAACTTGAAAGAACGGAAGTTGAAAAACAAGTTTAAGAGAGTAAATGTTTATTAGACGTGTTTATAAGTAAATCGATCAATTTCTAAAAGATAATGTAAAAATAATTGGACTGCCATTTGTCCAAGGTTGTAATTACCTGGTAATTAGTTGGTTGATTTTATTGGCACTTGAGTTAATTTAGATCATTTTCATGTTGGATTTGTTTATTTCTTTGTTGTAACGAGGGATAATTGAAGGTTTGTCGAAGATCGATCGATTGGATCTAAATATATGCAAAAGATCGTAGATTATTCGAGACATAAATAGGATAATAACTATGAATTACATGTCTATTAAAAATAATCTCTCTTATTATTGTCACGTAAAAAGTGATGAAATTGAAACCTTCACTGATATTTTATAAAGGATCCAGGTTTTTAATACTTATCTTTTTTTACTTAGAGAATGCAGAAGACTTTTGCCATTTCACACAACTAGAACGCTGTTATGTATGACGATGTTAGTGGTTCTTTTCTTGGAATTATGCGAGTCTTTTCTAACATGGATTTCTTGCTCTTCGATCATTACGATAGTAGCTATCCTTTACTGCTGGATCCTGCATCGAAACACCGAAGTTAAGGATGGTTTTGGCATTGCTTACACTACTGGAATATTCGCTACGATTGGTTTATCACGAGCGTGGAAATTCACGTATCTTTATAGGTCAGTTTCGTGAAAAATTGAAAATTTTTTTTTTATTATTGTTAATGACTTTCTACTATCATAAAACAATTTTTGAAAATTTTCAGATATGGTCTATCCATTTTACACGTTCGATATACAACTACAGCGATCACCGCTATTTTCTGCGGTTTCTTTGCTATTTTGGATTCTTATACGTTGTATCTTATAGTAAGTTAATTAATGATTTAATTTTAATAAATTAATTCAAAGTAGTTATCTTCTCAAATGTTACATGTAATTAAGCATAAATCCATTTTAATTTCAATTTAATTTAATTAGACTATCAGATACTTAATTTAAATCAACTACTTCTTATGGTAAGTATCGCGAATTAGCAACATAACATTGCAACCTTATCGAGAAGAACCAGCTACTCCCGGCTGAATGCAAACATTTGTTTTACATTTACTCAGTTTGTTTGAACAATAATGTTTATTATCGTGACCTGGAGAGGCAGAAGAGCTTATCGAATGGTAACAAAGAACTTTTCTTCCTTGATACTGCAAACTAAATCGCAAATATAGCTCCGTTCCATCGATATTCTCTGGTTAGTTTCTAGGAAACCAAATAAATTCTTCGTAGAAAGTATATTTTGACGCTTGATGCACATGTTTTATAACATCCAATAGTCATACTTTAAAATTAATAACTGTTACAATGTCAGGAAGACAAACGTCATCAGCGTTTTATGAAACGAATTCCCTCTCTAATAAAATATAAAATAACGAAATGAAGAATTACATTTCTTAAATATCCATTAATCTCCTGAAAAATAAAATGATGAAACAACAAAATGAAAAAGTTATACTTGTTGCAATATAAAATTACCTTCAAGTGACTTTAGTTCTGTTTTCTATAAAATTATCATCTCAATTCTATTTATGATTATGTAATCATCCATATTATATCTGCAGAAAAAAGAAAATATATAAATAAAATAAAAAAATAACAAAATTAAATAAATAAATATAAATAAATTATACTTTCAGAAGAATAAAATTCTCCTAATCATTTTAATTTTTAGTATTGCAATTATCTATTATTAAATTTCCATCTTGCTATAATATATCAATCCTTTCTTCAAATCTCAATAAGATTGAAAATACTTCTTATGTTTAATTATAATTATGTGAAGAGTATGTCCAATTAAGTAATCTTTCAATAACAGGTAAGATGAACATGTTATCGTTATTCTAAATATATTTCATGTATGCACATTGGCTCCTTGACCCAGTAAAAACAAGCAGGCTGGAGCATACAAATAGCCCACATTTTACTCGGTGAATAATCACGATTTTCACCCTGTCTAGATAAGAAGAAGGAGAAGATACTTGATCGAACGAGAGACACGAGGAAAAATCATGTATAAACACACGAAGGCATCATTTTTCAACAAAATCACTTTTCAGTGGATGATAAATTTGTTGTCCAAAGGATACAAAAGATATCTGGACATTCATGATCTTGGTCAACTTCCGGAGGAAGAGAGTACTAGGAAACAATTTGGAAAATTTCGAAAAGTATACGAGGAGCATAGGGTAATTCTGGAAAATAAAAAATAAACTGTAATAAATTTTAATTAAAAGATATACATTTTCCAATCTAATCATGACGATATAACATTAACGAATATATAAGAATTTTTATAGAATTTAGATTTAGAATGTCTGGTATTATTTGTAGAAAAGAAACAAAAAATTATGTCTTTGGAAATGTTTTTGGAAAAAGATATGGCATCCCTTTTTTATTGGAGGATTGTTAAAGTTATTGGGAGATGCTACAACCCTTGTAGGACCATTGTCTATTTCTAAAATCCTGAACTTTGTTTCTATCTCTCAAAATAAGACAATAACTTCTCAATACTCTATGGTATTTGTATCTAACTACACGATAATTTTTTTTTTTGTAAAGTTAAATAAAAAAAAAAAATTTTATACTATATTTTAGGTTGTCATGACATTTCCAGAAATCTTAGAAAATGGCTATTTTTTGGGCTTATTGATATTGTTCTTTTCTTTATTACAAGGAACTCTAAGTCAAGCTTCCACTCATATTCTCTGCGTTGAAGGAATTCGCTTGAAAACCGCTCTTCAGGTACACTCAAAAATCGAAAATAGAAACCATCGAAAATCATCAATATAGTCAAATTAAAATTGCAGGCGCTGTTATACGATAAAGCTTTACGTTTGTGCTCTTGGAGCATCGACGAAGAAGATAACTTGCCAGACAAGGAGAAAGAACAGAATAAACTCCAGCAATCTGCTGACATTGGAACTTTGACTAATCTGATATCAGAAGATGTTTACAATGTGATGAGTTTTTTATGGATTGGACATTATACGTGGGCCATTCCATTAAAGGTGGAAAAATAAATACAAATATATTTTTATTTTATAAAATTTTCTACAGCTACATATTGTTTTTAGATTACTGCTATTATCTTTTTTCTTTACACAAAATTGGGCGTCAGTGCAATCATTGGAGCAGTTTGTTGCATACTAATAGTGACACCTTTACAATTGGTACTTGGTAAAAAAATGTCGGAAAATTCTAAATTGATTGCTGTAGGTTGATAATTTCTAATTTTTCTTTTTAATTTTTAATAATAATAATAGAAAAATTTTTTAAATATTTTTATCCTTAGAAAAACAGTGATACTAGATTACGTTTAATCAATGAAATCTTCCAAGGAATGAGATTGGTGAAACTTAGAGCTTGGGAAAATATTTTTAAAGAAAAAATAAGGAAAACGAGAGACGATGAGCTAAAGATGTTGGACAAAGACTCTTTCTACTGGACTCTTATTAGTAAACTTAATTTTTCAAACAAATAAATAAAATTGAAAAAAATATAATAATGTAATAAATATTATTCTTTCATAGATTTCCTCATCCATGCTTCTTCGGTTCTAATGACACTTTTCACTTTTGCCGCTTATTTCTGGCTAGAAGATCAAACTCTTGATGCAGGAAAGGTTTTTGCAAGCTTAGCATTATTCTCACAGTTGACTGTTCCTCTTCTCATCTTTCCAGTGATGATCCCTATCATTATCAACGCTATGGTAAACAAAATTTCTAATAATAAGCGAAATTTACAATTTTTATTGTGTTTTTTCTTATTCAAAGATTTTTCAGATTTCCACGAAAAGAATAGAGGAATTTCTTCAACTTCCAGAAATTGAGAATGTCTTGCCCGATTTTGTTGATAGAAAGTCAGAAATTGCTGAGAGTATACCGTCACAGACTAATTCCGTCGATGAATCCATTGTAAATACTTTAAAATAATAATATAAAATTTTATTTAAACCAAATTTTATGATTTCTTCAGGTGGAAATAACGAAGACGCTCAATACTCCTACATTTGGATCATTGGATAACATCAAAGAAGATGAGGAGAATAGACAATCGTGTGGCTTGAAAGATTACGAATTGAATATAAATTCTTCTATAGATACAGTTTTTGAAAAAGATCCGGAAATACCAATACTTACAATGAAAGGCTGCAAATTTTCCTGGGGTACAGAGGAAAGTCTGTTGTCCATCGATGATCTTAGCTTTCCATGTGGTAATTTATTAATTGCAATGATTAATAAATCATTTGAGTTTGTACAAATGTTAACTTCTCTAATTTTCAGGTCAGTTAACTTTAATCGTTGGTAAAACAGGAAGTGGAAAAACTTCTTTGCTGCTAGGAATGTTGGGAGAAATCCAAAGGACAGCAGGATCCATTGAATGGGCTAAGTGAGTTCAAAATTCCTCCTAAAAAAATATTTAAATTCCTTTTTAATCATTGATATAAAATAAAAATATACTTACAAATATATTTTAACATTACAATTGTATCATTTTTATATCATAATTGAAAATGAAACAGATACTCTTCTATTCTATAAAACAGAGACTCCAAAGTCGCATATGTGGCACAGAAACCCTGGCTTCAAAACGCAACTTTGAGAGACAACATTCTTTTTGGATCGCCGTACAAAATGAAAAAATATAAAAACGTGTTGAAGGCTTGTGCTCTTCAATCGGATGTCGATATACTTCCTGGCCATGATTTCACGCGAATTGGTGAAAAGGGGATAAACTTAAGTGGAGGCCAAAAACAGAGAGTGACTATAGCCAGAGCGTTTTACAGCGACGCAGACGTTATTATAATGGTTAGTTAATTAGATCAAAAGAACAAATTTGTTTCAAGATTAAAAAAAAATATATATATATTTCCAGGATGATCCATTATCTGCACTGGATCATCAAGTTGGGCAACAGATCTTTGATCAAGGAATTCGAAAACTGTTACTCAGAAGTGGGCGCACTGTGATCATGGTTACTCATCGACTGGAATTTTTATCCATTGCTCATCAAGTATGTCAAACTCTGCAATACAATAAGTAGATCTTTGGAATAGATAGCAAATTATCACAATGGGTATGATTAAGGTTGTCGTCATGGATGGATGTCGGATCCGAACAATAGGAACGAAATCAGCGATCGAGGATTTTGATCCAGAATTAGCAATCGAGTGGAGGAAAACGGAAACGAAAGAAGAAGATGGATATCGTCGTGTTCATAGAACTGCAAAAGATAGATGGTCTTTCATTAAATTGATATCCAGAATCGGTAACAATGCGAAGAATAAATCTGGGGATAAATCATGGATCACTGATCAAGATGCTCATGTGGTACATATGATTAATTAATATTCGTATTAATTAAAATTATTTGTATTTTATTATATTGTAATTTTATTTTCAATAATAACGATTTATTTTAAATAATTTGGATTTGTTAGAACTCAGGATTCGTACCATTAAGAATGAGAAAAACTACTCTTTCCGGATCAAGATACTTGGCTCATGATTTGACAGATCTTCCAGTATCTACAGAAGAATGGAATGTCGAGAAAAAGCGATTCAAACCGCATCGAAATGCTGTTAGATCGACCAGTCTTCAACCTGAAAGACAACCACCTCTTGTTTTACGACAAAACAGTACTCCGACAATTCTTGAGAGTCAATATATTGCATCTAGGTATACAAAAAGAATTTTATTAATTTTGTTTTTAATAAATTTTTGAAAATAAATTCTTTCTCAGGAAAAGAAATAATACTTTTGATAATGGACAACGTAACAATATTTTCAAGCAAATATTTTCTAGTGGGTAAGTTAGATATAAATTTTAATTAATTTGAAAAAAAAATTTCTTTTATTGATACGTATTTAATTTATAGAATAATTAGTCCACATCCTGATGAAATAACATTGAACAGAGACAAAAGCGTTCTACGAAAATTGATACCATCTGATTCTAACAGACAAATGCAATACAATATTAAAAAGTATAAAAAATTTGTTATTTTTATTATAAAATGTATAAATATCTCCATTCATTTATTTTTTCACTTAGAACTTATCATGATCAAGAAAATGAACATTTTCCTGTGAAACGATTGTTAATAGAATCGAAAGGAACTAAAGAATCTATTGACATTGAAGAAAGTTAGTATACTATAAAAGTATAAAAGAAATCCTGAAAAAAATAAAATATAATAATTTATTACTTTTTATCTTTTTTTTTTTTTGTTTTAGAAGACTATGATACAAAGGAATTAGAAAAACAGTTTCAATGCCAGAAAGATAGCAGAACAATCACTAGAACAATCTTTTATGATTACATAAAGGCTGGAGGTTGGATACCTAGTTTAATTTATATAACAATAGCGATTTTCTGTCAGATTCTTCGTGTTTTCATCGACTTCTGGTTAAGCCAATGGACAGACGAAGATTTCATTCAAGAAAATTATGATGTAATTATATACATTTTAATGATTTAGAATTATTAAAAATTACAATAGATAAAATATCTTTCATATTTATTTTCAGACGGTTTTCTATTTTAAAGTTTACATCATTCTTTCCATTATTTTTATATTATTCTCTATCATATGCAATGCAACTGGTCAATGGACAGGTGCAAGAGCAAGAAGAAAATTGCATGAGGAAGCCGTATCCAGACTTCTAAGAGTGCCAATGTCGTTTTTCGATTCCAATCCCGTGGGAAAAATATTAAACAGATTTAGCACAGATATAGGCGTCATTGATAAGGTCGATATTCAATAAAAAATCAAATAATCAATGAATTACAAGACAATAAATTTACCTTTCCATTTTTTATTAAAGAAAATATCCATGTCGATCCAACGACTGATGTTCTTCTTTCTTCTCTGCGGTTCAGCGATGATTGTGAATGTTATTATCTCACCATGGTTCCTCATTTTCGCTGTACCCATGTGCACAGTTTACTATCTGATTCAAAAATTTTACAGGCGTAGTGCCAAACATTTACAAAGATTAGACGGCAGGTATGATTGTTTTTGGTCAATCTTTTAATCAACTATTTCTTTAAATTTTTTAAAATATTTTTTAGCAAATTTTCTATGAAATTTTTTACGAATCTTTCCAATTTAAAATATTTCAATGAATTTTATATAATTATTTATAATTAATTTAAGTTATCTCGACTTAAAACATCGATTATTCATTTCCAGTACCAGATGGCCGATCACTACTCACTTTTCCGAAACACTTTGCGGATTAGCAACGATAAGAGCTTCAAAGCAAGAGAATCGCTTCATGGAGGAGGCTATAAAGTGTTTGGACATCAACACAAACGCGTTTCTTCTTCTAAATTCCAGCAGTCGATGGTTAGGCATCGTTCTGGTAAGAGAATTTTTAAAACTTTTACAAAAACTTTTCCATTTTTTTCCGATCTATCTTCACCATGAACATTTTCCAGGATTACCTAGGTGCTATAATAGTGAGCTCTGCGATATTTGTAATGTTAATTTCCGCTAAATTGTATCCACATATCACGCCTGCTCTAGTTGGCCTGGCGATTAATTACACCCTACTAGTGCCAATTTATTTAAATTGGGTGGTGAAATTTATCGCGGAGACAGAGATATATTTTGGTAGTGTTGCTCGGATCTCCACTTACAGATATGCCCCTGTGGAAAATTATCAAGATGGTATTTTGTCTCTGAAATATAAATTTTAATTTGAAAAATAAGGTATAATAAAAATAATAAATTATTTGATTTATATAATATTTTCTAGGCTTTCATATATCTAAAAATTGGCCCAACAAAGGTGAAATTATTTTTGAAAATGTTTCTCTGAGATACGCTTCTCAAAATCAACCAGTGATCTCGAATTTTTCTCTGAAGATTCCAGCCGGTCAAAAAGTAAGAATTCGTAAAAAAAAATAAAAAAATGCTATTCTATTTTGATGTATATATATATGCACATAGATTGGAATTTGCGGGAGAACCGGAAGCGGGAAATCCTCCACAGTGATGGCACTGTTTCGATTACTAGATATCATTCAAGGTCGCGTATTAATAGATGGAATAGACGTCCGACGAATTCCTTTGAAAATCCTTCGTTCGAGACTTTCAGTAATTCCTCAGGATGTAATCATGTTTAGTGGAACCATTAGGTAATCATTGTTTATCCAAAAAAATCAATTGAAAGTAATGATAAAATGATAAAAGTAATGATTTCCAGAGAAAATTTGGATCCTCTGTCGGAATACGAAGATCGAGAACTATGGAACGTGTTGGAAATAGCACAGATCAAAAATGTTGTAGCTTCACATCCTGAAGGTCTTAGTAAGTATAATAAATTCAATTATAATTAAATTCTTTCAAAGATTAATTAATTTTATTATTTCTAGAAACTTCTTTTTAAATTTAAACTCATATAAGAAAATTATACGAATTTCTGATTATCCATAACAATTCAAATTCTAATATTTTTATCATGCATTTTGTTGTTTATATCAAGTTTTTTACTGTTCATCCAACAGATAAAAATTGATAATAAGACAAAATTTAATGGATGGTTTTTATTAATCCATCAAATTTATTATATTTTGTTCCAATTTTTTTTAATAAAATAAAAATATCCTATATATAATTTTTTAATAGAATTTGTCCTTTTAAAAAAAACAGATTTCGAGGTAAAAGAAGGAGGCGAGAATTTCTCTTCCGGTCAATTGCAGCTGCTCTGTATGGCGCGGGCGATACTCCGCAAGTCCTCGATTATCGTCCTCGATGAAGCAACCAGTGCGCTCGACGCCTCCACGGAAAAGAGCCTCTTGAAAGCAATTTCAACCGATTTCGAGAACAAAACAGTGATCGTTATCGCGGTAAATTCGATAATCAAAAATTTCTTATCTCCAAGTGAAAGAAAGATGTGAATATAATGACATCATTTTTCATTAATCATTTTTATCTATTTACTTTTCAGCATCGTGTGTCCGCGTTACTCGATTGCGATCGAGTAATCGTGCTCCACGATGGAAGGATCGTCGAAGATGGATCACCGGTAGATCTGACACGACGACAAGATGGTTTCTTCGCGAATATGTTAAAATCCAATGAGGAGAATGAAACGAACGATTGTTGATAGAAAACAGATGAATAAAAAAAAAAAATAATAAGATGGATTCGATTAAAAAACTGCAACACAAGAATGTATCTAATATGTTCGATGATCACATAGTATTTATTTTTGATATGGATAATAAATTAGGAATTTCTAAAATGTATTTTTGTAAATACATTAAAAATGCATTAAAATGATCGTTGATCGATCTGACACATTTCGTTTATACGTTGATCATAGGCAATGAAATTGCGTTGCATATTAAAATCTCATCATCATAGATAAAAGATAATATAAATTGAGAATTTTTCTCTTTTAATCCATGTAACAAGAAAATTATGTAAATTTTGTACTTAAAACTCAGACTAATCGAAGTCTATTCTTTTTTAAATAAAAAAACCAATAAAAAATTCACTTTACAAATTAAAGAAGAAAAATTTAATGACAAGTATTTCTAGAATTCCAGCTTACAAACTTTTATTTCATAAATTAAACTGATTCAATTTTTTCATAATAATAAAAAAATAATTCACAATAATTTGCACACTTCTTTTATACGAGCAATGACCCATTGTTTTTCAAATGAGAAAAAAGAATTTTGCTCTTACTCTGATCTGTTGTACATTCAACTTCCTTTTAAAATATCCACACTCTCTAAATATTCTTATCGCTAAAAAATTCGTCATACATACGTAATAAACAGATTTTGTCAAAGATCAAAAGAAAGAACCTATCCAAACCTAAGCCAAAGCCAATCAATCAGAAAAATTCAACCTGCATACCATTCCTTTATCAAACATCTATCTTCTAATCAGATCGAACGAATCTAATGGAAATGTACCTTCCACCAAAAGAATTTTCGTATCGATCTATTCCACGTGTAATCGAATATATAATCATCGATACCGTTGACTGGCGGCGTATATCACGGATAAGGTGCCAAACGATAATAATTATGTACCAATGCCCCCCACTGTTAGCCAACGATTGAAAACGAGCGCGTGTTTTTCAGCTAGTGGCATTGAGGCCAGTAGTCTGTCGATAACAACGCGAGTCCGCGAGCGAAAGTCCAAAGCGAATTCGCTCGACTCCTCTTTCTCGATCGCTCTCTCGATCCTCAAAACGATCTTGTCACCCGAGTCGATCTCTTTAAGTCACGATGCCGAAAGAGATACAAACGTTCGATTTTCTCGTTAAAAATCTTCCAATTTTTCAAATTCAATGACAATACGCAGTTTTTTTCTCGATTTTGAGAATTTTCCTCCTTGAAATTTTATATCTTAGCGCGAGGAAGGGAAATATATTCGCGTGAAAAATGAAAGCGCGTGATCGTACGTGAATTTTATTCCTGGAGAAAAAGCTTTCTAATTATCGTGAATAATCGATCCATGTGATTGTGGTAACGGACAATGAATCTCGAAAGTGGCTCGTCTTTGTGAAACTTGAGTTTGTGAATTGAACGAGTTTGGAAGAAGTTGTGGGAAGAGGGAGATCAGATGTTTTGAGTGAGTATATCTTGATCATTTCCTTCTAAGAATATATTAGAAAAAAAATTTAATTTTGCAAATGAAAAAACATTACTGTCACTCTGAATTCAAATCTAAATTTGAAGAATTTCAGAAATTAAAATTCATCGATCATCTTAATTCTTCTAATAAAATAAAGATTCGTAAAAAAAAAAAAAAAGAAGAAATTATCTATCATGAAATTAAGTATCGTGAGTTTCGAAAGTTTAAAAAAGATTAAATCCTGATTCCTTTCTATTTTCTTATATGTTTATATTCTCTCTGTTTATACGTTTGTCGATTGTGCAACTCTTTTTCACCACCGATTTTAACCGAGATTAGATCGAAGATTCGAAGCATTCCTCGTTCCTTCGTGAGGCGCGAAATTCGTACATGTAATCATGTTGAGTTGCACGATATCCGATATTTCGCATAGTGTTTGTTTTAAATTCGAATTCGAAATGGACCAATTGATTTACCTAGTCGATGATTCATCGTGGACGAGATATCGTAAGTTTTCCCGTGATTAGTTGGTTTTACGAGCTTTGGTAATTTATGATACGAAATAACTGAAAATCGTAAGTTCTTATGAGCGATGATAGTTTTTTTGTTCGACACGAACAGGTGTTGTAAGAGCAATTTTAATTTAAAAAAAAAAAAAGAAGAAGAACAACAAGAGGAGTGTTCGATGTGAATGAAAGATGATAAATGCATTCGGGACTGTACGATAAGAGGCTATAGTTTCGATGATAATAGTGTAATAAGAAAATTAGTTCCTGTCTTCGGAATGAGGTCGTGAAAAATTGCATAAGAAATAATGATAATCAACAAACAATATATTGAAGATATCTTTGTGATAAGTAATTAACTTTTTCTATTCATCAATGAATTCATATTATCGTGAAGAATTAAATATTCGAGGAATTAATAAAAGGAAATTGTATGAAGTCATCGTTTCGAGGCTAATTTTTTCGCGTGGAAACAAGAATACATTAAATACGAGAAAATATTTAAAAAGCTTGTTCTTTTAATAGAATTTCAAGTTGACTAAAAAATTTCGATTTTTTCATAGCAATTCCAGGAAAATACTAATCATACTAATCTATCAAAAATAACTTTCTTTTCTTTACGATCGTCAATGCACGAAGAAATGAAAGTAAATAAAAATTTTCATTAATATTTCAGAAAGTACATGAAAAGATACAATTTTTCATGATCACGACAGATTCAAAAATTGACGCAAAGAAATATTAGAATTTTCCTATTCAATTTTAGAAAGAAAAACTTAAAAATTCTAATTACAAAACTGCAACTAGGAAAAATTAATTTCCCTTTCCTCTCGCAAAAAGAAGAAGAACTGGCCGACCTTATTAATGAAAAGAGAATAGAATTCATTAGATAAGATTCATAGCTGTGTGTGTACCTGTTGACATTGTGTCTCTTTGTTATCGGCTAGATAAGATTTCTGCGTCTTTGTCGAACTTGAGACATCAGTTTTATGCGCGAATTCGCGGAGTGCACCTCATCGTTTCTCTGAGAATTATATATACAACACATAATCCATAATTCGATCCATAATCCTTCGATCAAAGTAGTAATATCGCGAGATTTTTTCCCTCCCATTGGTAAATTTTTTTCCTCGATCACGTCTTCCACGTTAAAAAATCTGAAAGGTGAGTCTCGCCGATCCAAGGGTCCACGCCAGAAATACACGATTTCTATTCGCCCCTTCGTACGTGTCCCATACGAGCGGGAATCGTGAAGAAACTATTTTCTCGAAAAGGATAAACCCCTCTATTCCGTTTTCTATTTCGATCTTATCTTTATCTTCATCTTACAATCTAATCGATCAGCGAAAAAAATGTAATTGAATCTGTCACGAGATTATGTCGCGATAATGTTTCACAGTTTAATTATAATGAGAGCAACGTCGGCTCACAGATAAGATTTCCGCATTTCTGTCGCGCATAACAAATTGCGAGGAAACAAATATTGCACGCGATTAAGTAATTTCGTTGCGCAATTAAGTTTAATTATTAAACAGCTCGGATTAACTGAACTAAAATAATCGCGATTCGAAAGATTCGTTAATACCGGAAGAGGGAAGGTTTTCGTCTCGCGTTGCGCTTGCGGTTTCCGTCGTTTTCTCGATAAATAATAAAGCGATTAAGTGACGAGGGTAAACAAGGTGATTAAAGAAAAATCAAACACGATAACGGGACGAAAATATTGGGCGAGCGTAAAAATAACCGGTGAATGTTTAACGAGTGAGAGATGGAATCAAGAATCACGATTTGGGAAAGGGGCACGTGTGTGATTTAATTATGCTCGTGTTAATTGAGCTCGTCGATACTGATTAAAAATTTGAGTAATATAAAATTGACGTCGTTTGAACGATGTTTTCGTTTAAGTTTTCAGATAATCACGCGGATTTTTTCATGAGATATCGATGAACGTGTGTTTAATAATTATTAATTAACGTGACTGGTATATGCAAGAATAGTTTCTTTTCGACGGAAGAGAAAGAAATATAAGGTAGAAAAAAAAGATATGTGTATGTTGATGTGTATGAAATTTAGGTTCCTTTTTTTTTTTTTGATTTAATGGATTTTGATTTAATGGAGAGATCATTAAATTAAATGAGATCGTCCGTTAAATTTTGTTAATTATATTTAAAAAAAATTGTAATAAATATCAGATATATTTAACAAGAAAAATATTGGAATAATCAGAATATATATGATATATCTGTCATATCAGTTAAGCTGGAAAAATTGTAAAAGAAAATTACTTAAAAATATACATATATATATATTTATATCAATTCAAAAGATTATATCTTTTAGATTATATCACTTAACATTTTAATCAATATCTTGAAAAATCAATTATCTTGAAAAAAAATTTTAAAATTGCACTGGAAGATTGGAAAAACGATATTTTATATACTTATTAACTTAATATTTTAAGTATATTTTTATGAAAAAACAAGTCTGAAATATCATTAATGGAATTATTGATTTTGTCAAATGGAATATTCAAAAAATCTTCCTGGTCAAAATATTTGTCATCTGTACACAAACCAGGAGAGACAATTTTAAACGCGTTTCACAAGTGTTTTGCTCAGATTTCTGTCTGAATATTCAAAAAAAGAGGAAAATATTCCATTCTCAAATTTATTCAGGAGAATTTTTTCTGCATCTTTTAAATGTCAAATAGCACATATTATTCTATCAAAATCTGGAAAAATCCTTTAGTGTAATAACAAAATAATATAATTAATTCAAAATGGAAAAAAATAAATAAGGATAAGAGGATATTAATACAAATGAATTTGTAAGCCTCTCGCTATTTTGAATATTTCCAATGATATGAAATCTTGTATTGTTAACACTTCTCGTTTCTACTATTATTTACTCATTTCTATCAATATTGGCATCAGCTATTCTGACACCGTCTGCTAATACGAACAGTCAAATAAATCATTTATTATTTATCATCCAATACAACATCAAACATGACTGAATCTAAAAATTTCACATACCGATTTACGAGGAAAAGATTTAATTAAAACTTTATTTTCAAAAATTTCCATCAAACGTGGAAGATCTTTAGAAGATATTTTCCTTTTTAATTAAAATATTTTATCTTTTTCATTTTTCAAAATATTTTAAAATATATTTCAAAATATATAACGTTCTGTATCTTCTTTTATAATTAATAAATCCTCAGAAACTTCTATTCGTGTTCCATAAAAATTCATTTATAAAAATACTGAAACACCAAAATATATTGTGAAACATTTGAAAAAGAACAGACATTTTTCTATACTAGCATTAAATTAAATAAAATTAAAAAGTCTATCCAAATTTCATAGAAATTTAATTTTAATTTTAAATATAGTCTAATTTTTGTATTAATAAGAACAAAATTGTTAATAAAAACAAAAAATCATAAAACTTTAGATTTTAATGTTTCGAAATTCTAGATACATTTTAATCAAAGAGAAAAAGAATAAGGAATATCCTGAATCGTTTCACTTATCGTTAAATCGCGATCATCGATCACATATTTCCCATTCCTCGTGTTTAACGAGGAATATTGTAACAAGAATTCGAACGTTGTGCAAGGAAAATTACGAAACGTAGGCGTACTTGCAGTGAAACGTCCTCGCGATTACGTAAAAAAGAAAAAGAAATACACAAAGAGGCAGAGAAGCGAGAAAAAAAAAAGCAAAAGGAGCAGCTTCGATCGTTTTTTATTAATAGCTCGATCTTTAACGAAGCAGGAAACGATTCGCGAAAGAAATATGGCGCAGTTACATAAAATCCGCGATGGAAACGATTTTTTAAGTTTGATTTTTTTCGCTATTTTGATAAGGCGCTTCATTTCGAGGAAATTACGTGCATTCTCGTGAACAATTTTCGATGATAATCTCTTTTGTTTCACTTTGTTTCCCGTCTTCCTAAACCGATTTCTTCGAATTCTTCGTCAATCTCTTGAGATAATCTCGCGTTAATTTATGACAAGAAAAATCGAATAAGTAAATAAAAAAAATTAAAATCGTTCCGACAATCAATACCTGATTTTTGAATGATGAATCAAACTTTGAATCATTGATCAATTAATTTTTATTTTTATTCCTTCTTAAGATCTTAAGATTGGTTTGAAGAATTGTTGGCCAATTTAAATGATTGAAGATTTGACAAATTCTTATGTAATCACATACTCGATATACACGTTATAAATAATATTTGGATAAATCTTCTAGTATGACTAATCAAACATTCTTATCGTGTCTCTTAATAAAATATAAAGACATACATAAAGCAAAAATTGAAATTATCATTGCGAGAATTTTAACGATCAATTTTATATCGTCATCGTTGATTAATTAATTGTCAGATGAAGATTTCAGATGCGAAGGTTTAAGTTAATTTACATCGAATCATTAAATTTTCTCACGTGAAAAAATTGAAGAACGTTTTTCCTATATTTTAAAAAAAGAGAACCATTTTAAAAAAGCTCTTGAATCAAATTTAATTACAATATATTTATATTTCGTCGACAGATAATGTGTTATTGAGGAAACAAATTTTTTTATAATACATGAAACATATCAAAATAATGAATAGTAAATCCATAATGAATATTGTAATATCATTATTACTTATTAAATTTATTTATATATAATTATTCACTAGATATCACAATCAGAAAAATTAAATTAAATTAAATTAGATATAAATATAATAATTCTTTTCTAACTATCAATATATTGATAATCTCATTATTCCCCATTGTTATATTTATTTTTTTTTGCATCTATCTTATTAGACAAATAAATGATGAATAGAATCTAATGAAAAGAAAAGCTTATCTTTGATTTTCAAGATAATTCGACTTTGCAGTATTACGTTGATGAAACTTTAATATCAATAATTTAGAATCATCTATATAAGTTATAACGAATATTTCTTTTTTCCTGCACAACCTGCACAAATTTGATATTGACTAAGCAATTGACAAACGATGAACAAAGATAACTATGATAACATCGATTCATAACATTGGAGTTCGATCTCTAGACTCCGCGATTCATTCGAAAATAATCAAGCTCGATTAATCAAAGAAATTTCTCAAGTTATTGACACAACAATTCGAAAATAAAATCGATAAAACTCTCTTCTATCATCGTTTTCGCAATGACAATTCAAATCGATGCGCAAGTTTTTCAATAACGAGAAACTTCCGAAAGGATTGTGCCATAAAACGAGAATATCCACACATTATGAGAACGTGCTAATTTATCGTGACGTCAGCGCACAATCGCATCGAACATCATTAGCATAAGCATGTGACCAGCTAAGGCCACGTGCTCGAATTTGTCTCATGCGTAAGAACTTTTTGTCTGACAGTAGTTTTTAAGAGAGGCTTTTGCGACCATTTCGACAACAGATCGGTCGAACAAGAAGAAATAACAAATCGTAACAGTGAGTAATAGTTAAGATGGATATTGATCGATGATCGATTAAAAAAAAGTCAAAGATATCATCGAATAATTATTTCTGCGCGTTTCCAGGAATTTTCATAATTTTCATAATTTAAAACGCAATAAAGCGGATCTTTCTTGATTTTCTCAAAGAAAAAAAAAAAAAAAAAAAAAGATAAGTTACGTTATCAGTATGGAATTCGAGCCAGATAAAATAACTCATTCGATTAAAATGTCGATCGACAAGTTATTGATTTATACATGAATAAATTTATAATTTAATATTAAGAAGAGATTATTTTTTTGTCTCAGGAGTCAAGAGAGTGTGCTTTCGACATGTTTTGGATGAAGAAAGTATAATGAAATTCTCGTGCTTTCCGACGCCAAGTATCCTGGGACAGAGGGGTAGTATCAATCTGATTTCTCTGTCCAGGAATGACGAATCAAACGTGATCAGTGTAAGTGTAATAAGAAAAATTTGTTTAAAGAATAAAAATTATATTGTAGCTTTATATGAAAGGAACAATTAATAGATCGTTATATATTTATTTATTCGTAGAACGGAAATGTGAAAAGTCCAGTGGTAACAAGTTATAGGCAATCAGGTGAACCAGATCTGAGTCATGGTGTGGTGAGCATTTAAAAATAATCAAAATATCTTCTAATCGATTGGAATGAGATTATTATCAATAATATATTTCTTTAATAATATATTTCTTTAAAATTTAAATAAAAATTTAAAGACTTTCGATCTTTTAAATCATAAACGTCAAAACGAGAAGATAACAAGTTGAACATAATTTTTTTTTTTTTTTGAAAATATTTTTAATTTTAATTCAGATACGTTCCTTACCTGGTGTTACAATATTTAATGGAACTGGACCTCCTGTACATACCAAAGGCAAGGCACCATCACCACCACGACAGAATCATAGTCTCCTTTCCATAAAGCAAGAACAGGAAAATGCCAGAATTTCGGATGTTCAACCTGCAAATCCCAGAGGAGGTATTATCGGCAGAACTCCGACGCCACCCTCTGCACCGAGTCCTGTTTATGAAAAAGATGAAAAGTAATATTTTGAAAAAAAGAACAAAATTAAATGAATTCAAAGATTATGAATATTAATGAATTAATAAAAATATTTTTTATCTTATAGGAGTAGACAACAAATTACAAAAGCTATTTTGGAGAATGAATTCCTTGGTAATCTTGAAGAAAACCAGGTGGAAGCGTTAGTTTCCGCTATGTATTCGAAACAAATACCACCAAATACTTTAGTGATTCAAGAAGGAGATATTGGTAAAAACTTTTTTATTATACTATTATATATTTTGATATTTAATTTTTATCTTTTTTTTTTTTAATCAATATTTCAGGATCGCATCTTTACGTCTCAGCGGAAGGAGAATTTGATATCTATGAGGGCAACAAGTTCCAAAGAACTTTTGGACCTGGTGTCGCATTTGGAGAGATTGCCTTATTGTATAACACTATGAGACTTCGATCCATCAAGGGTAAATACTGATTATATTGTATAACAATTAACAAAAAATAATAATTGGAAATGATAACGTTTTCATTTAACTTTCAGTAAAGAAGGGTGGAAAAGTATGGGTACTCGATCGATCCGTGTTCCTCACGGTAATGATGAAATCAGCCCAGGAAAGGTTGGAAGGAAACATTCGATTTCTTCAACGAGTTTCCGTTCTCCAAAAATTACCCGAGCCTAAAGATCACGTCTTGGCTAAAATTTCTGATCTCATTCGTGTGGTAAATATTTCTCATTTTTCTACATTTACATAATCATCTCCATACTAAGTTTAATTTTGAAAGAAAATTATCTTCTTGGTAGGAATTCTTCCCTGCTGACACAAAAATAGTTCGGCAAGGAGAAAAGGGTGAAAAGTTTTATATAATCAGCGGTGGAAACGTCAGAATAACAAAAGATACCGAAAATGGTATAGAAGAAGAGTTGGTGGTTCTTGGAAAGGGTCAATACTTCGGAGAATTAGCTATTTACGATGATGCTGGTGAAAATCGACGACATGCCAATGCGATTGCATTGGCTCCTGGTGTTGAATGTTTAACATTGGACCGAAAGTGAGTTTTCGTAGTCTGAAAATGATAAATATTCTCGTGCATACTCAGAAAATATTATTCTTCTTTGGTTGATTGAAATTGAATTAAATTTCAGTTCCTTCCTGAATTATTTGGGTGGTCTCGACGAAATACGTAATAAGGACTGGTTAGCAGAATATGAGAAGCAGAAACGATCATTGACGTTTAAAAAATGGTCTCACGAATACTCAAACATCACTTTAGCCGATTTAGAAACTAAAGGTACCTTGGGAGTCGGTGGATTTGGTCGAGTCGATTTAGTCACTTTAAAATCTGATTCTGAAAAGAGTTTCGCGCTGAAGAAACTAAAGAAAAAAGTGATGGTCGAACAGCAACAGCAGGAACATGTTTTGAATGAGAAACATATTATGCAGGCCTGTGATTCTCCGTTCATATGCAAGTCAGTATCTAAAAAAAATTATATTAATTATCAATTTCTCGCGCGATAATTGAAAAAAAATTATTTTTGATTCTTCCGACTTATCTTTCATCCAGACTCTATCAGACATATAAGGACACCAAATACGTATACTTCCTGATGGAAGTTTGTCTAGGTGGAGACGTATGGACAACTCTCCAAAGAAGACGATTCTTTGACGATGCGACTGCACAATTCATGGTGGGATGCGTAGTGGAAGCTCTCGATCATCTTCATTCGATGAACATTGTTTATCGAGATTTAAAACCGGAGAATCTTATGCTTGATATTCGTGGATATTTGAAATTGGTAAGTTTAATATATCGTATTAAGAATAAATTTAAAAAAATTTGCTCTTTTTTTTTTTTAGAATATAAATGAAATGAAATCTTGTAAATATTCTTCAGGTTGATTTTGGATTCAGTAAAAAGATTGGACCATCCAAAACATGGACATTTGCTGGTACACCTGAATATGTAGCGCCAGAGATTATTTTGAACAGAGGCCACGATAGGTGAATAATTAAAAAATAATAATTTAATCTAATAAAAAATATGAAGAAAGAAATTAAAGATGGTAATAAGATAAATCACATTTATTTTGAAGAGCGGTGGATTATTGGGCTCTGGGAATTCTAATTCACGAATTATTGATCGGTAAGCCACCCTTCCGAGGTTCTGATCACATGACCATTTACAACAAAATTGTAAAAGGTATCGAAGTAGTTGGAATACCAAATACCATTAATAAAAATGCAAACAATTTAATCAAGAAACTTCTTCGTCTAAATCCTTCTGAACGTCTTGGATACCAAAGAAATGGTATCCAAGACATTCGAGATCACAAGTAAGTTTTTTTGCAACATACATAATTATTTGTAAAATAGATATAAAATATTAAATTAAAGTAAAATATAGATATTTTAAAAAAATAATTTGTTTCTTTAGATGGTTCCATGGATTTAATTGGAATGCTTTGCAAAAATTGACTTTACCGGCGCCAATCGTTCCAACGGTACAAAAAATTTATTCTCAATACATTTCTGCTTTTTATGCAATTTTTAAAAATTTTTCAATCAAACTTACGTTCTTCTGTTTCATAAAATTCTAGGTGCGAAGTCGAATTGACACGAGAAATTTCGAGAGATATCCTCCAGATCGTAATATTCCACCAGATGAGTTCTCCGGATGGGACGAGAATTTCTAAAAGAAAAAGAATTTATGCAATAATCAGTTGAATACAATCTGTTAATTGAACGAATAATAAGAATAGCAAAATTGCAAAAAAAAAAAAAATACATGAAACTTATTTTGAAATTTAAAAAATTATATCATGTATCTAATCAAGATCTATTAGATACATGTATAAATTAATAATTTCCTATTTATATCTATTAATCTATTCGAAATATAATATATATATGTTTTAATTACTTTAATTTTTTAAAATATAATTAATTACCGTATAGTATGAATATTCAAGGCTTGTAAGAGTATTAAAAAATGAACAAAATGATACTCTGATTGACAATAATATAATCATGATAATTTTAATGTTATTAATTAATAATAAATTTATACATAAATTGCTAAGTTATTACATATTAATACCTAATATTAATACCTATTAATTTTATATCTATTTTTACATCTATTCATTCGTGCTTCCCAATTTTTTAAATTTCAGTATGTATAGCTATGAATATTATCTTGAATTAATAAAAATGGAATAGTATACAATACTATCAAATGATTGAGTGATTTTAGAAGATAAATATCCTTGGAAAAAAATGTATTGATTCGATAAATCTTCGATAACATTATATTTATGAAACATATCTGTTAAGGACATTTGCTGATAGATTAAAATTGCATTCGTGAAAGATAAGATCAATCAATTTAGTCACTTTTGCTATTCTCTAAATCAGTCAATATTTTACGTGTTTATTCGATCTACAAATCTTCTTTATTCTCGAAAGTTTAATATAAATATTTTCTTTAAAAATTAAAGTCTATTCCAAAAGATATTTAAATTATATCCATTACATTGAATAAACTACGTTAAAAAATTTGGTTAAACGTGAATTTTAGCAAAGAAATTTAGCAATGCATTTTCTATGCTTAGGGTGTAGTAAACGTAATCTCATCGAATTACATCGACGTGATTCTAATACGTATTATCGACAATTGTCCTATGAAAGAAAAAATAGTGTAATTGGTGAGGTGAACGTGTCCTCCGACATATCGATCAAAGTTTTCGAGAAAGATGAAAAGTAATTTAAGAATTTTAAATTGTTCAAATCATTGTTCAATCATTTCTGATTTTGCAAATATATTCACATTTGATATAACTTTTAGAACGAAGAACCTGATCAAAAACGCGATTTTAAACAACGAATTTCTCAAAAACTTGAATGAATCGCGGATAGAAAAACTCATTTCAGTAATGTATTCAACAAAGGTGAAAGCTAATACACGAATTATTCACGAAGGTGAAACCGGTGAGTAATTATTTTTATTAAATATCGAAATATTAATCATTACAAATTAATCAATATAATAGGATCCCATTTATATATTTCGGAAGAGGGAACATTTAAAATTTACGTGAACAATACATATTACGGAAATTTTGGCTCTGGTGTCGCTTTCGGGGAATTGGCTTTATTATATAACACAAAAAGATTGTGTTCTATCGATGGTATTGGAATAATTCGAAATTTCTTATATTAAAATCACGGAAGTATCTATTATAATTGATAAGAAGCTTTCGTTTGTTCCTTCAGCATGTACGGATGGAAAACTCTGGATGATGAATAGGCAAATATTTCAAACAATAATGTTAAAAAATGACGAGGAAACCATGGAGCATAATTTGAACATTGTTCGTCAAATTGAAATATTCAAGGATTTGTCAGACGAAGTTCTTCTAAAAATATGTGACTTGATAATGGTGGTGCGTGTAAGGTTCAAATTATGATAACTAAAATTATTAAAAAACACTGTTTTTGTGTTGCTTAAGGAATTTTATCCTGCGAATTCATACATAATTCGAGAGGGAGATCAAGGAAATAAATTTTATATTATACAAGGTGGCCATGTAAAAATTACGAAAAATAAATCAAATGATAGGGAAGAGGAATTAATGATTCTCGAGAAGGGTGACTATTTTGGTGAAAAAGCGTTATATGGCAATAGTGAATCTTGTCGACAAGCGAACGCTATTGCAATGCCTCCTGGAGTAGAGTGTTATACTATCGAGAAAGCGTAAATTATGCGATTAATTTAAGAATTTTTCGGATGACTTTTTAGTGTTTCTCTATTTATGTAAAGTTTATGTTCGATTTTAGAGCATTTCTAGATTATCTCGGCGGAATGGAATCAATTAAAAATAAGAAATGGCATGCATATGAGAAATTGATTGTGCCAGATAATTGGAATAAGCAATTTGCGAACTTAACTTTGTCCGATTTGGAATCTGAAGGAACAATTGGAGTTGGTGGCTATGGTAGAGTAGAATTGGTCGTTGTGAAATCATCGACGCTTAAACTTAGCTTCGCTAGAAAAAAAGTAAAAAAGCATATGATCACACAAGGTGGCTTTCAAACAATGATTTATAATGAAAAAAATAATCTAAAAATATGTGATTCACCATTTATCTGCAAGTAAATTAATGATTTTAATCCCTTAAACAAAAATTTTTCTTCAAAATATAATATAATATAAAATAGAAAATTTAAGACTAAAAAAAGTCTAATGATTCTTTGATTTAATACAAAATTTAAAAAAGTTTACCTTCAAATTATATATTATATATTAAATTCATTATATATTAAATAAAATACAATACTAAATTCTTTGTAGATTATACAAAACTTTTAAAGATAAGAAATATCTTTACTTTTTAATGGAGGTGGGCTTAGGCGGAGATTTAAGGACAGCTTTATACAGACATGGTCAGTACAATAATTCGACGAGTCGATTTATTATCGCTTGCATCGTAGAAGGTCTTTATTATCTCCATTCACTGGGTATCATTTATAGAGATTTAAAACCTGAAAACATTGTAATCAATAGCTTAGGCTATGTTAAACTTGTATGTTCTTCTATTTTAATTTAATTTAATATTAATAAATTCATCCAATAATTCAATATTCTTTACAGACTGACTTTGGATCTACTAAAAAAATAGGTTCTTATAAAACAAAGACTTTTATAGGTACATTAGAATATTTGGCTCCAGAAATCATTCAAAGTAAACATTATAATCAGTATGTATTTTCATGGTCAATTAAATTTTTATTAAATCTGAAATAAATTCAAATAATTTTTTTTAATGATAAAGAGCTGTAGATTACTGGGCACTTGGAATTGTGACATACGAAATATTAGTAAATAAAACACCTTTTCAAGCTACAAATGATTTGGAAATATGTAACAACATTCTTTGTGGTTTTAATGATAAATATTTTCCATCTATTTTTATAAAAAGTACAGGAAAGGATTTTATTAAATCTTTATTGCAAAGTAATCCACTTAACAGACTTGGTTGTCTACGAAATGGTGTTGCCGATATTCGTAATCATAAGTATGTATTTATCAATTTGTATATATTTATTTCTACTTATTTATTTTTTAATTGCAGGTGGTTTAATTTCTTTAATTGGCAAGACTTACAGAATCAGAAAATGTCTTCTCCTATTGTACCAACAGTAAGAATTTATCAGAATTTTATGTGTTTTTAAAATAGTCTCGTTATCTTAACCTCATTATCTAATTCATTCATAGATAAGAAATCATCTCGACAGAAGAAATTTTGATAATTATCCTCCTGATCACAAAGAAGTACTAACCGATTTTTCCGATTGGGATTCGAATTTCTAAAAAATTTTGTTAATTTATCTTATTATTATATTAAATAATTAATTATAAATTACTACTCATTACAAGATATATATTATATATCGCTTACTCCTTATTTTATAACGATTATACGAATATACGAAGTATATTATTACGAATAGAATTATATTATTAATACTTTAAATCGAAAATGTAAAAATATATATATATATATCTTATAAAGATTTTTTTAATATATAATAACATATTTTTATGAAATATAAAAAAAGTACCTTGTATATCCGAAACATAGATTCTAAATTAACCAAATATAAACAATACAATAAATATTATGTATAGATTAGATTTATCAAACAAAACTGTGTTTACATTTATAAAGTTCAATTAACAGTATAATCATCTCATAAATAGTAAATATAATATTCAAAATAAATACTTGAATTGTAAATACAGTTCATTCGGTTTCTCAAATATAAAAATTTTAACTTAGTATTGCGCAAAGAACGCCGTCAACTTCAGGTGGCGCACGATTTGCTGCTGCACTCCTGTGCAAATAACCTTGTTACACCATCGTTCGAATGGTGAATTTACAAATTTACATAATAAATAAATCAAGAGTGATAGAATATATTATTAGATATGTTATACAAATAATTTACATACCATAAAATTATAATAAATATAATTTTACTTGTAATCAATAAATATAAGATTCGACAATACGTGGTACTCAATTATAGTGCGAAAGAGAAAAACACATTATATTTTTTTAATAATAATGTATGCAAATAATCAACAATGTAATGTGAATAATTGTTTATAATGTATTTATATATGTTTATAAGTAGCGCTTGGTTATTAATGGTGACAGGACCTAACTTAACATGAGGTGAAACTAGGTCCATAAAAATTTCATTTAATATCATTTATTAATAATTTATAAAAATAATACGTAATGGAAGCTCATGAGAATGAGCAATATGTTACATTTCCCCTTTCAGGGGTTCATGATGATATGCAAGATAATATTATATCTCATGAAGAAATATGCGAACCAGTTGACGAATGTGTTCTTCAAGAAGGACTCACTGAAGTATCTGTCACAGATGTTAATTCTGGTATTACAGAAGCACAAGTTGCAGTTGAGATTTTAGCAGAACATTCTGATGAGGAAGATGAAAATCGTGTAGTATATCCTATATATATTAAACAAGAAGAGCAACAACAATATACATCTGGAGATGATGAATCAATGGCTGTGGAAGCTCTTCGGCAACTTGGAGGAATGTATCCTTGTTTTGAAGACAAGAAAATATGTTGTGCAAATTGTGGAAACCTTTTTACACAAGATGAAATGACAAAACATCATACTACTTGTTCTGCTAATAAATTATCATGTATTACTTGTGGAGAAAGATTTGAAAGAAAAATAGATTTGAACAATCACATAGTTTGTCATCAAGTAGATCGCCCACATGCTTGTAGAACTTGTGGAAACTTATTCCGTTCAAAAAACAATTTAAGATGTCATATGTTACAAGTACATCAAGTAGAAAGACCTCACAAATGCACTATATGTGGAGCAGATTTTCAGAGGCCTTCTAGTTTATCTAATCATATGAAAATTCATACATATGTTGCTGGCCGTGCTATTATGCAATCACAGGGTAATAATATGTCACAATCAGAAGAAACATTTAGGAAGTGGCCTGAAAATGTGACAGAATCTCAAAATAATCAAGTACCATCTTCATCTGTACAAACTATACAAAACTATGATACAGTTCAATGGTCAGTTCCATCTTATAATTTTCAAAATGATCAAACTGTTAATACAATATCTAATCCTGAAGAAAAAATAGATACTTTACATGAATTTACTGTACTGCCAAATGGAGAAGTCACACAATTTGAATATACACAACAAAATAATATAAATAATCAAGTTAATCAGCAATATAATATTTCAATAAATTCATTTAATAATTCTGATACAATGATAAAAGTTGAAACTTTATCATATAATAGTGAAAACAGAAAGAATTATATAGAAGTTGAAACAAATGGTACAAAACAACATATTTGTAGACATTGTGGAATTAGTTTCTCTCGTGCAACAGCACTAGTATCTCATGAAAAAATTCATGCATCTAAAAATTGGAATATGCCAATTGAATGTGAATATTGTGATAAACAATTTCAAGATGGTAATCATTTAGCAACTCATCAAACAACTTGTGCAAAAAAACTGATGCAAAATAATATAGAACAAGGTACACATAACACTAAATGGGGTAAACATGCATGTTCTGAATGTGGCAAAAAATTTACTACTAAACAAAAAATGTTCAGACATCAGTGGATTCATAGAAAGAAAACACATTCTTGTGAAGTATGTGGATCTCAATTTGAAAAACAAAATGAATTAGATGAACACAGATTATCAGCACATCCTGGTGATTCTCCATTTACTTGTACTGAATGTGGTAAAAGTTTTGTATCACGTCAAGGATTATGGGAACATGGTAGAACACATGCTGGGAGTCCTGCACATTTTCATTGTGATACATGTTCTAAAACATTTTCATCAAGACAAGGATATTTGATACATCATAGAACTCACACTGGGGAAAGACCATATGGTTGTAAGTTTTGTTGGAAAGCTTTTAGAGATGGTGGAACATTAAGAAAACACGAACGTATTCACACAGGAGAAAGACCTCATGTTTGTCCCTTGTGTTCAAGAGCATTTAATCAAAAAGTTGTTTTGAGAGAACATGTTCGATGGGTTCATGCAGCAGGAAAGAATGAAACTGAAGTAACTGGACCTCCTTTTTCATGTCCTATATGTGGTGCGGTAAATCAAGATCGAGATGAATTATGTGCACATATTGTTAAACATTCTGATCAAATGATAGCAGAAGCAAAAGCTAAAACAAATAATAATGCTCCAAAAGTCAAACCAGTTAAAAAAAAATCAAAAGTATCTGCAGGTACAAGTTTACAAAAAAAACAAGGATCTGGAAATTGTATAATTTCTAAATCAGAAGAAAATGAAGCACTTTTGTCTATTACAAAGATAGATAAATCAGATGAACAAATTTTAAATAAAAAACAAAATAATGCTTTCCTTGTAGTTACTACAGAAAAACGCAATGAAAATTATATTGCAATATCTGAACTTAAATCTGAAAATGTGCAATTATTAGTTGATGAAAAACAAGATGAAAATATACATATTTCACAATCTGATCATAGTCATAGAAAATCTTTAAATATAATTGCTATGGATAAGCAAAATAATACAACCCATATAGCTTCTACAGAACAAAAAAGAAGTGCACTTCATCCTGCAAGCAGTCATGATGAAATAACTGCAATGCATTTAATACAAACTTCAAAGCAAACTAATACTTTACATTTAATCTCAAAACAAAATGAATCATTGCCTGTTCTAACATTAGCAAATCCTGAGAGTCATGAAAATTTTTCCAATCAAATTGCACAAATAAGTAATAATGACTTACCTATGAATATGGTAACTCATCATTCAACTAGACAAAATCAAGATATTAAAAATCATAATGAAGTTGGGCAAGAATCATTAATACAAGAGGGAACATCCCAAACAGCAGTAATACAAGTTGTACAATATCATCAACAAGATAGTGATGATGGAGAGGAATTAGTTTGTGGTATATGTGGAGAAGATTTTAATGATAAAAATGTGTTGATGGAACATGTAAAAATTCACATATAATAATTGTTACTTTATTATCTAAGTTTGTGATATTCTTATGCTATTAATGTGGCTATGTAGAAAATAACAAATTCAAACATTTCTTATGTTCTTAAAGAAAAGAAATGTTATATAACTATTTAAATATTGTTTCCAATAGTAGTAGTAACGCACCAATTTTCTATGTGTCTTACAAATGCACTGTATAAAAAAAACAGGGAACTTCAATGATATTTATATATTTTTAATTAATTTGTTTTTGTTTCACTGAAATGCTTTTACATATTTAGGTCATACACTATATATGTGGTAAAATAATGTACATCTTTTAAAATAAAATATAGATAAAGATTTATGTAATAAGTGAAGCACATTACTGATGAATTTTTTCTTAAAAATATAAAATTCTTTATAAAAAATAATCATAGAATTATATAAATCTGCTTTTAATAATTATTTAATGTTGAACTCATGTATCATTTTACAATACATAAATTATAATTGGATAAAATGATATTTAAAATGTAGAACGTGAAGTGCAATAAGAAAATAAAGTACATTTTATTTTTAATTTTTCTTCTTTCTTAATTTTATATTAAAATACTTTTCTTTAATATCAAATTTTTCCTTCATTTTTCATGTTTATGTTACTGCATGCTTTGTTAATATAGTTAAAGATTAAGTTTGTCACGTGTTGTTGCCGGAACGAAAAACGTGTGCGCGTTACTTTATGAAATAAACAATCGTAATTTACAATTATATTTTGTATCATTATGTAATGTGTGTTATGTGATATCAATAATTCTACATTAAATTTTAAAGACAAAAAAAGTAAGTATTAATGTTTAAAAAAACTAAGAAAAAAAACTTTATTATATGTTAAATTTTATTTATTAAAAAATAAATAGTACTAATAGTATTATTTCTATAAAGATTTTTATTAGATATCAATAAGTAGTAAGTCAACTTTAAAATACATTAATAAAATTCATAATATTTTTTTAAATTTTCTTATTCGATATATAACCTATACTTCAGAATCTTTCTCCCACGTTTATAATCGACTGAAAGAAACGTTTGGAAAATATTTATTACCAAAGTTTCGTATTTTATATATAATATAAAAGAATAAGTGATAAAAGTATATTAATAAAAATAAATTAATTTAAACATTTTTACATGAAATTAAAATAAAATTAATTTCAAACAAAATTTTTAATTCTAAATATTAAAGTGTAAATATTTGTGAATCAAAGAGGTTATGTTGTTGTTGTATCATTTTTATAAACTTAGATATAAAGAATATTAGAATAAAATAAAAAAAAATTTTTTTAAATTTTGTAATCAAAATATACAAATATGCCCACTTGGAATCAAATTCAAGCTCAACTTCGAAATCCAAATAATCCAGTGGTGTTTTTCGATGTATCCGTGGGTACTACAGAAATCGGACGAATGATTTTTGAACTCTTCGAAGATGTTTGTCCAAAAACATCAGAAAATTTTCGGCAATTTTGCACTGGAGAATATAGAAAAGACGGTGTACCTTTGGGTTTTAAAGGTGCCATATTTCATAGAGTCATTAAGGACTTCATGATCCAGGGTGGTGATTTTGTAAATGGTGACGGTACTGGAGTTATAAGCATCTATGGTGGTGGAACCTTTCCTGATGAAAATTTTACATTAAAACATGACTCACCTGGATTATTATCCATGGCCAATAGTGGTAAAGATACTAATGGTTGTCAATTTTTCATCACATGTGCCAAGTGTAATTTCTTGGATGGTAAGCATGTTGTTTTTGGAAGAGTTATCGATGGACTTCTAGTTATGAGAAAGGTAGAGAATGTTCCCACAGGGCCAAACAATAAACCAAAAATTCCTGTGACAATATCTCAATGTGGACAAATGTAATAATTTAAATAATTGTAATTTTTTTATGTAAGTTAGACATAAAATGCTTATATAAACATTTCATAATTCTTAAAAATGAAACTATTATTTTCATCAAATACCTCTCTTTTTCCAATATTTTTTAATAAATTTTTTCAATAGATTATAATTATAGTTTAAATTAATAATCATGACTGTAATTATTTACTTCAGGGCTATTTTAATTGCTTTGAAGTATTTTATAATATCCTATTAATAGAGATTGGCTATCAACTTGCTTATTACTTAAAAGCTAAGTATCTTAATCAAAGTATCAAATCAATAATTTTAATGAACTACAAGTATGATCAAAAAATTCAGATAAAATAAATATGAAATAGAATAAAATTGTTATTTTACGAATTTTCAATCTTATTATGTTAAATTTACATACCAAATAAATAATCTACTATATAATCTATATTATATTTCAATGGATAAAAATCTAAACATATCTGAAATATTAATATGACTTACAACTCGGATTACAAAACATTCAAAATAACATGTAATATGCGTTTATATATGTGTGGTATGTGTATATGATCTAACATTATAATCATATCAATTAATATAATTTCAACCGTAAATATTAGGTCTTTATTTCGTATCTAATTTATAATAATCTAAGCAAAAACTATTTTTTATATTCGTACGTAATTCGTTCATGAAATAATTTGATATTATAACTATTGATAGCCTAAGAGATAATCGATGTACTTAACAATGAATCTTATTTCTACCTAATTATATATTAATTTTCTCTCTCACTCTCTCTCTCTCTTTCTCTTTCTCTCTCTTTAATATGAATTATTACACAAGAATCAATAAATTACTTATATTATTCTCTTCTATTTATGCGGCACTTATACTATTTCTCATTTGCAAAACTAATATGGTATTTTTACGTACACATATACGAACAATTATTTTCGTCAGCATATAATTTTTTGCATTGGTTGGTTACAGAATACATATGAAAATAAATTCCAATAAGTTACATTTATATTGCATAAAATCGTATGTAAAAAGATAAATTCTCAAATGATTTATCAACTCTTATTAATTTTTAAAATTTATTATCGTTTTAAACGATAGCCAATATAAATCTAATATCCATATCAGAAACATCTTCGAATATTCTTCATTAATCATTCTCAATTAATATTTATTTTATTAATATAAATTTATTTTATTGAATATTAAAAAAATTTTCCTATCGACGTAGCTCGAAAAAAAATTTATTTTTGATTTGTTTCCTAAAAAGCAACGAAATATTCAGGTTGTGATTTCCAAACAGGAACGGCCGATTTTCAGAGGCATATCGCAAAAAATCATGAATCATCTGGATATCATCATCGGGATCGTCACGACCTGAAACACATTACACCGATCATCATCGTCAGCAGCTCACGGTAACGATAGCAGTTGGTCCCTCCTCTTGGGCACCGTGAGCTGAGGTGCGGTCTACCTGCTGTTGCAAAAAACGTCTTCCTCAATGGTATCAACTTGTGAATTATCATCGACGACCATAATGGGCGTAGCACCATCGTGAAGACTCGACTTCGAGATGGATCTTTTGTAAACATCCCTCGTCACGCTCCTGGTGAAACTGAATTTTCGTACCAACTTTTTATCCAAAGCAACAGGACTCTTTGGTCCTTTCGCTTTGAACTCATCTTCTGTTCCTTCATAATGAGCGAGCATCACTTCTGTCGCATGTTGCTCGATCACATCCACGGCATAATCGATATCATCGTCAGTGGCATTCTCTTTCACTACGCAGAATCTTAAAATATACTTGCCCATCACTCTAGCCGGAATCATATGAAGTCTGCCGGATGCATTGATATTTGCCAATAATTCCTGATTTATTTCATCGCTTTCCTTCAATCTGAAGCAGACCAAACCTACTCTCACATCATTGGTTATCTCGAATCGCTTATCCCTCTTCATTAGAGTCTCGAATCGTCTTGCCAGCCTAATATGATTTCTTATGTACTTTTGTAATCCTGTGATTCCATACGATCTCATCACGAACCATAATTTGAGCGCTCTGAATCGTCTACTCAAAGGTATTCCCCAATGGCGGTAGTCGATAGATTCACCGGATCTAGCGTGCTGAAGATACAATGGATTGACGACAAGTGCCGACGTGAGTTTCACTCGGTCACGCACCCAAAGGCAAGAGCAATCAAAATTGACTAGCAACCACTTGTTAGGATTAGTATTGAACGAGTCCGCATGCTCGATGCCGGACATAAATGGCCTCATTTCCGGGCAAATGAACGCATTACCAGCGTAAGCACCATCCACGTGGAGCCAAACATTAGGATAGAGTTTGCACACAGGTCCGATTTCGACTAAATTATCGAACGCACAGGATCCGGTAGTGCCAAGAGTGGTCGAGACGAAGAATGGCACTAAACCACTTGCCACGTCTTCTCGAATTGCGGATTCCAATCGCTTACCACGCAGAGAACCTTTCTCGTCCGGTTCCAAGACTCGTAACTTCACCAAACTGATCATCGCCGCCTTTTCTACGCAGGAATGCGCCTCCGTTGAACAATAAGCGACCAATCGTGGCAGAAAGGCGGAATCTTCGGTGTTCGGGTCTTGCTCCTTCAAAGTTCGAATAGCTTGGGTTCGTGCCGCAAGCATGGTGACCAGAATACACTCGGAAGCGGACCCTTGTATCACTCCACCGCCTTTCGAACTTTTGTGCTCGGCTAGAAATTCCGGTGGAAGGTCTATCGCTTTTGCATACCAATCCAGAACAATAGTTTCCAGTTCCGTGCAGGCCGGGCTCGCGGCCCAAGAGAAACCTATGCACCCGATTGCGTCGGACAGCATGTCCCCGAGGATCGAGGGAAACGAATTGCCCGCTGGAAAGTAGGCGTGAAAACGTGGATGCTGCCAGTGCGTGATCTGTAAAGCATCGGCGTTCTCTCAGTATTCTGAAGTTTGATTATTCGGTATTGAATTCGTTTTAAAAAAAATTGTTGACGTTATACAGATTTTAACATTATCATAAAAGAAATAATATAGAAGAGGTAAAATGATTTTTTTGATAATGGATAAAAATACGTGTAACCATTGTCACGACCATGAGTTTTTTTTTTCTTCTATTTTTTTCGTATTCGGGAATATTATTAACATCGAAAGAGGTCGGAATCAACAAAGGGGGGATCGATAATCGAGTCCACATAGTTGACACTCACCCCGGGCATTATTTTCCTGTCGACGTCCCTTATTATAGCATCCCATGATTCCCCTTTCGCTGGTGCTTCTTTGGGAAGTAAGGGCCTTAAGTAGCCTGGGTCCACGTTCGCCGTCACCCTCTTTCCTTCCAATGTGCGGAGATATTCGCAAATGTACTCGATCATCTCCTTGCCGCGTACTTGAAACTCATCGATGTTCATGATAATTGCTGACTGGAATGCAATTCGAAGGAGAGATGGACTAGTACGTGCCAATAAAACTCATGTTTGATTAAGCACGTTCTCGGTTAAAGCTTGATCGTGACATTTTTCAGCGCCATTTATCGGTATTACAGATGAAATAAACGTCATTCGCAAGCAAAGAAATACGTGGGACGAAATACCTTTTCGTTTGTTTTTTTTTTTTTACTTTTCTATTTTTATTTTTCTTTTTTATCTCTTTATTTTTCTTTACTTCTTTCTTTTTATTAAATAATTCAGAATTCTCTTTTCTTCACAATTATTCCACAACTCCAATTTGTTTTCTCATTTTTTTCAATTATCAAGGGAAAAGTCAATCTAATTGAATGCTCGAATACACTTTTCTATGTATTTTCTATTTGGAAATTGTTGTTAAAACTTTTTCAAAACACTTTCACATCGAAGGAAACGCGTAACAGGTTTGTCCCGCGTTTAAACTGAGACTGGTAGCACCTGCCATAGCGCCGTCAGTTTTATGCGCGTCTCCTCTTCGTACATCCCTGCCTCACGCAGATAAAATTAAGGCGGAGCTTCGGTGATCGTAAAAAATAATAATTTACCTGTTTCGTTATAGATTACGACACTATAGTTTCGTATCGTACCGTTTATTACGCAAACACTTGCTCGAAAAAAAATCACACCCCCTTCGAAACTTTTCATAAACCCTTAAAATTCGTCATACTTCCGATGAACTAACTAAATTTAGTAGCACTTTTTTCCACCCCCTGTATGACGTATAATTCATTCTTTTTCTTAATCACATACACACGCATATACTATATTTATATCTTTTTGATATAAAAATGATTCTTTAAAAAAAAAAAAAAAAAACAATCAGCAATTTAAAAAACTCTTTGAAAGAAATTATTTAATCACAAAATACAATTTCGTATATTTATATGAGAAAAAAATTTTGATATAACGTTTTTTTTTATTGGAATCTTCGTTTTCGAGAAAATTTATATAGAGTTAGTTAATAATAGAAGAAAATAAAATTACATATAATTTAATTATATTTATCTATTATTTTTATCAAAACTTTATAAATAGTAACAGTTAATCGAAAACATTTATATAAATTTTTTTAATTTTTGTTATCGATTGTTTCTATTTAAATTTAAGTGTTTATATAATACGATATAGTAATACGATTAAAACTACTGTAGTCGTTTAAATCACTATAATCACTATAATCTTTTAAATTTTTTGCAAATCTTTTGTTTCAAAGATAACGTATTTGAATTTTTAAATCAATTTTTAGAATTGAAAAGATATTATTACTAATTTTTTCTTTATTATTATACATTGTCATAATATCATACTTTAATATCTCGTTAAATAAAAAAAAAAAAATCTTTCATATATCGATCGCTTTAAGAAAATTACTTTGAAAATGAAAATATCAATTCGTTCCGACAAAGGATCATCGCGAGATCGATTCCGAAAATCTGAACGAAAATTCGCGAGAAGGGTGGTCGACATCAATGATGATATATCGAGGGGGTCGCTGCTTGAATAAGCCAGTATGTTGTCGATGATGCACGGGGAGTAAACTCGCCCCCTCCCCCGTTTATAAATAGACGTTTACTCTTCACCTACATTTACAATATCCCGTAGAAGCGGTGACAGGTCACCGCTCAATCTTTGTAACACACACACACATGCAGACACATGGCGAACACCATTTTCTCTTTTGCCGCCACCTTCACGCATGGTCTGCTCGCGTCTGCTCGACGTTTTCGAATTGGATTTCTCGATCGAGGGTGTCGAAACGATTGTCATCCACTACGAATTAATTAATCCAACCAACGATCTCCTTTTTTTCGCAGAACATTGCGCATTTCCTCGTTAACTCATAAACTCGAGACGAGTTATCGATAGGAAAGACATCATGTACGAAACGATTAAAAAATTATGGATAATTTCTGGCACAATCGGATCAATAAAGGATGAAATTATTTATTCGAAATTTTTCTTCTCGAAACTCTTAAAAATCGAAGTTTTTTCCTCTTTACCGAAAAAAGAAATTTTGAAGATTTCATTAGTCACGCTTTATTTCCCAATATTCGATCAATATTCATCTTGAAAATCTCTCTATTAATTTCCAATATTGTATGCAAGGGATGAAATTTATCAAGTGTATTTTAATTACCAATATTCTGGCAATGATCGACATTATCGATTATTTCCCCTTCTCTTCTCACGCATTTCTGCTTGACGTTGTATTTTTTCTTTTTTTTTTTTTTTTTGAGAGAGAGAATGGCCGATCATATATTCGATTAGAATCAATGTATTCAACGCTTCTGCTTCCAGAACGAGACGTCGTCGTTTGCGCAAACGAGCTTTACCAAAACGGAATCGAAACGAAATTGAATAAATGTCATATTTAGCCGGAGGAAGAGAGAGGGAGAGAAAGGAAAAAAACGATATTCAAGCAAACTGGGCGGTCCAGGTGCATCGGCTCACCCTCAGTGACCCCAACCTTTTCGATCGAATAACGAACAGCTCTTTATGACTTTTTTTTCGATATTCCCGAGGCACGAGTTTCCGTCTCATATTTTTTATTCTAACTCCTTCCCCTATTCGGCCCAATTTACGGATTATATCTCCGTACGACAGAAAACGATTGCATTTCGAGATGATGGTGAATAATTGGGACGTTGATTATTTTACTTCTGAAATTTTTTTTCTTTTTTCTTTTTTTTTTTTTTTTTTTTTTTACTATGTCGATGTATGCACGCTTTATATATCATCATATATGTAAGTACATTTTAGTAGAGTAATATGTTACACATGTAGCGTGTTCCGCATGGTGTAACGCGTCTCTGTCGCGATCCAAAGAGAGCAGACTTATATAAACAGATCGATAAGCAAGTAAAGAAGATGTACTTATATTTATCGAACGCTTCCTTCAGTCGAGAATGCAAATCTTGCAACTACTTGCGCACAGTTCCGAAAAAATGACTGAAACAAAACAAAAAAAGATGGCAATGGGATTGCAATCTAATCGGGTCGTCGATCGATTTCGAGTGTGTCTTCGTCCGTTCGCTGAGCAATTTTAAGAGAATTTTCAGATGTATCGTCTATCATTCTTCGTTTCATCATTTTTAAATTCCTTTTTTGTCGATTTTGTCGGCGGTATCCGTTCATCGTTTTAATTCTCGTTTCTATCGATACACCTTTTGGGGGAAAGTTTAGAAAAAGACAATTGGGACAAACGCGAGATATTTTACGCCCTTCCGTTTGGTGATCTTCCGCGGGACGGCGAGGCGGATGGCGATGGATCCGGGCTGCACCCGTTGCTGCTACCGCGACGACTTCCGGTACCGCTTGCTTTCAAGCGAACCATAGTGTCCAGATGACGAAATCTGAAATTATTTTCCAAACATATCGTTCTATCTCCTAATTAAGGAAAATTTTTTTTTATAATCTCTTTTACCGAGAATATTTAAAAAAAAAATACCTAAGTGATAATTCACTGGTGTCAGCAGCATCTTTCGCCTGCATCAAATACGCGAGCGGCCAGGATATCCACGAACGTCTGGCATCAAACATGCTAAATCAGTGATTTTGCAAGATTTCTGTAATTCATCGATATGGATATATTCATTTCTTACGTCGTGGAATGAGGATTCGAGCCAATACCACCGATCGTCGCTTGGGTATCCAATTTGGCCCCTGTCCTGTTCGGTGTCTTCGTGAATCCCGGTTGAATGGCAGGATCAGACACCATTCGAACGAAGAACGATCTTCTTTGCTCCAAAGTGGCTTTCCTTTTCTTCTCGCGAATATCTGCCAATTCGTCCATAACATCCTACGATTCAATGAAAGAAAGATAAATGTATGAATAATATTTAAGAACATCTACATCAATTGAAATAAAATTCCAATTAAGAAATTTTCGGATTACCTTGGACTCTAATAATTCGGCCAGATAATCCGTTATAATGCTCCACGCCATGTCTATAATATAAAAATAAAATATTGAGGAATGAGAACGTGCAAAAGGTACCATTATAAATGAAGATATGATCGGCTCACCAACGTCAGAAGCAGTGGCATTCGGCGCGGCAAGCGCGAAACGAATCGTGAACCGTTGATTCACTCTTGCTGGAACCATGTGCAACTTTCCAGAATCATTGATGGTGCTCAGCAGTTTCTGATTCAGTTTGTCGGAACCTTTTGCACGGAAACAGACCAATCCTAGCTGAAACGGTTTAATACAATTTAAAAACTTACCAACTTGAGAGTCTCCGAATCCCTCACCTTATCTGTATCTGATTACACACTCACCACAACTTCGTTACAAACTTCGAATCTCGTATCCTTCCTAACCAAAGCCTCGAATCTTTTAGCTAGTTGCACGTGATTTCGAATGTAGGCCTGTAAACCGGATATCCCGTAACTTCTCATCACGAACCACAGTTTCAAGGATCGAAATCGTCGGCTAAGGGGTATACTCCAATGTCTAGTAGAAACGAGCTACGTGAATTCATTTCCTTTGATTTGGGATTAAGCATTGATGAAATCTCGATAATACCTGTAATCGATAGCTGTATCCGCGTGAGTGTGTTGAAGATAAAGAGGATCGACGACCAGCGCGCTGGTCAATTTGAATCTATCCCGGACCCATAGACAGGAACAATCGAAGTTCGTCAATAGGAATTTATTCGTATTGGTGTTGAAAGAATCCGCGTACTCGATACCAGCCATCAGGTACTTCAATTCCGGACAGATGAAAGAATTGCCCGCGTAAGCTGCATCGACGTGCAACCACACCTGAAAAAGAACGACAACAGAAAAATTTTGAAATCGAGGATATTCGAGGATATCGTTCGAAAATTGTCCGTCAGCTTACCCCTGGATATTTTTTACAAACTGGACCGATTTCTTTGAGATTGTCAAAGGAGCAACAAGCAGTCGTGCCTAAAGTGGTGGAAACGAAGAAGGGGATGTATCCTTCGGCTGTGTCAGCTTCGATTGCCTTGATAGAAAAGATTGATCGATGATCGAATATAAAATTGTTTTAATCGAAGTAAAATAAGATATCGTACAAAACGAATCAAGAAAAAATATTTTTAACGAAATGAAATAATATTGAAGAAAGAAAAAAAAAGTTATACCTGACGCAAAGTTTCACCACGTAAAACACTTTTATCGTCAGGTTCTAAAATTCTCAGTTTCACGAAACAAATCATTGCATCCTTTTCGACGGAGCTGTGACTTTCACGACTGCAATAAGCCATCAATTTTCCAAGAAGGGCAGTTTCGTCCAAGTGTGCATGTGCAGTTGATTCTTTCAACCTTGCAATTGCTTGCGCCCTCGCTGCTAGCATACATACTAAAATACACTCTGAAGCTGATCCCTAAGATTAGATTTATCGTGATTAAATTTATAGAAGGTATTTACATTGAATAAAATTTTTAATCAGAAATAGAAATATTACTTGTATCACGCCACCTCCTTTGCTACCAGGACTGAAATAAAGGAAATCCGTCGGTAGACCAATAGCTTTCCCTGAAATTTATTTAGATAAACTCGTTGATAGCTCGTCCTCTGATATTTAATATATATTGAAACGACATTTAATGAGTTGATATTGAATTACCGAACCAATCGCAGACTATCGTCTCGAGCTCGGTGCAGGCTGGACTGGCAGCCTAGAACAAATAAGATATCGAAAAATTATGAGATGATTGAACAAACATTTGATCAATCTGTCAAATCTGTAACCTCGTGTTTTTACTCTAATCTTCGCAAGAAGATCGAATTTGTATGTGTGTATGTGTATGTGTGTATTTTGGTGAAAATCTTCTGAAAATTAATATTTTTAAAAAAAAAAAAAAAGAAGCTTACCCATGAAAATCCAATACAACCTATTGCATCCGATAACATATCACCAAGAATCGATGGAAAGGAATTTCCGGCTGGGAAATACGCGTGAAATCTTGGATGTTGCCAATGGGTAATCTGTAAATATTTTTTTTTTCTTTTTTTTTATCCAATTTATTACATTTTTCTTCTTTTTCTTGATTATTTAATTGAATTAAAGAAGAAAGATGTAGGAAGATAATTTTTTTCTTTTCACTTACACCAGGCATGATCTTCGATTCGACATCCCTCATAATGTTCTCCCAAGGCTCAGGTTGTTGCGGTGCTTCCGGTGGTAGGAGGGGTCTCAAATATCCGGGACCAACGTCCGGTGTTACTCTCCGATTGTGAATATTGCTCATGAACTCGCAGATGTATTCCACCATCTCCTTACCACGTATACGAAACTCTTGAATATCCATGATGATCCGTTCTATTCTCGAAAAAACCTTAAACGCGATGATTTATTTTCCACAATTATCACAAGTCTCTTTTACTTTCTATCTCCCTCGATACTTTTCTCAATATAACGTCATAAACGGTATAATAACGTCAAATCACAATAATTTCTATATTCTATTAATATCATAAACGGTATAATAACGTCAAATCACAATAATTTCTATATTCTATTAATATTTTTTTTCTGTTCGTATACTATACTCGTCGTCGAACGCAACACGATGAACAAAAATAATTAATTCATCGACAAAATCGGGAAAGTTAATAAATCCATGATTTGTTTTCCCCCGCACAGGCACTATAGCTTTGTTAGAAATTTGCAAACTTAAAAATTAGCCCAATTACCGTAGGAAAAGTTCGTCTAAATTTCACTTCTTCTCACAACAAACGAGATGACTTTGACGAAATTTCGTGGTATCCCACGCGCCCTACCTGTTGCTACAACTATGGAAGAAATCGAAGAGTCCAACCGGTGCACGTTGAATGAGCCACGACCGAACAATCCCGAGTTTCGCTTACCACCTCGAATATATCGAGGATCCAGAGAGCGAGGATTCTTCGACTCCTGCGCAAACGCGCGTCTTTCCGTAAAATCTTCTTCGCGGATCCTCGAAAAAAAACGAACAGTAGAGATAGATGGATCTATATAAAATTCGAGACACAATTTCCGGAACAAAAAAACGATCGAAATAGACACGTCACAATACCGAAATTGCTTCGTCCAAGTTGTAGATCTTTGTTGTTTGTTTCTCCAGTCGATTTCAACCAACGATGATAATTGATTTTCTTTTTGAGTATTTTTTTATACTTTTTTATCAATGGTGATTTCAATGACCGTTTATGTAACATTTGTTGTTGTTAAATTAGGTATTTTAGATTCGAAGAAAATACTTGTAAGATAGAAGTAAGATAAAAAGAAATCAATGTCTAAAAACGGATATCCTCGGATATGATGATAAATTTTCCAGAAATTGATGTTGTAATAATGATGCTTCATAATTTACTATCGCATCTATAATTTTCGAATGAATAGTTCATGTAATATGTATATTATCTATGTGAAAAAGATAGACTTTCTTGGTAAAACGATAAGTTCTAAGGTATAGACACGTTGTTGAAGAATACATCATTTGCAAGTTGGTCGAATTCGTAAAAGGTCAAACAATAAGAAAAGGGTGAAATTTTTCATGATGATAAACTTGATTCCAGATCGATCGAATTGGAAATATTCATAAAATAGTTGGAGAAAACGGATGGAACAGAATTCTGTACGTCAGAAGGAGGAAAACTTCTCGAAACGTGGTTCGCTCCGTTCATTCGTGGTGAAAACGTCGAGCGTCTTTGCCATAGAAGGGTTGGCCACTCGAATAAATTGGAAGCCAGGCTTCTAGCACGTGATGGTTTATTACGATGGAAAAAGAGCGCGTAGGCATCGTTAAAAAGATGTCAGACGCAGAATATCGTCCCTCTGGAAATCGAGCTCCGATGGTGCACCAAAAGTGGTCCGAACTCCTTGACCTTTCCCTCGCCAAGTTTTTTGCAATATTCTCACGACACATTAAGAATCTCAATGATGAATTCGGATCGAAATTAAATTCTTTTTTTGATCAAACAAAACGAATCGGAAACAATATATATATTCCGACAAGAAACAACATTCGAAACTGATCCGCCAACATTGTAAATCGAACAATAGATGATTCGTTCTACATTTCTTTCTTTTACATTTCGTGACACGAACATGAAATCGTAATTTAACGACTCAAATGCGACATCCGTGACTATCTGTCTGCGACTACCGACGTGAACGAACAGTATAATAGGTAATACTAGTTTCATAACCGATATAGAGCAAATAACAATTTCTGACGTAGAGAATACAGAACTAGAGATACTTTCAAGGAATCCAGTTAAATGTTTAATCAAAATCGATTAAGGCGAAGTATTACTATTTACTTAACAAATTCATACCGGTTCATACATGAATAATTTTTATATAGGATGAACTAGATACGCGTAAATGAAGGGGATCATAGGAATGTTCGTACGAAAATGCGAAACGAATTGATTAGTAGCCAGTGATGGAACCAACGGTTTCGCTTGAAATAGGCAAAACGACGACCTTTTAGGGATAAAAACGTTCATAATGCTGGAATGCAGGGGGGAGAGAGTGACAGGGGTGCTTAATAATGCAATATGGCGTCGGGGCGTCGCGGCGCTATGCCGGCTATGCCGCATACCACCACCATATACGCCTACGCCTGCGACCCCTTACACCCCCCGAGTACGAACAACCAAGAGAAGGGGGGGGATAGAGATGGTACCGTGCAATCGAATGCTGATTGGAAAATATTGATGGGACTTTCCATACGGGGATCATCCCTTAGACCGCTGCTTTTTCCAAGTTTGCTTCGGAATTCCAGAAATTATATTCTCTTATAGTCGAACGCGAACTTTCGATGAACGCCCCACTTTTATATCCGAAGAGAAATTGATATTAATCGACGATCTGATCGATTAGTTTTGTTATAGGATGAGGAAAATTGTTAATTATGAATATGAATGAGCGACCTGTTGCAAATTAAGTTACGTAATAAATATTACGAATAATTTTGACATCTTAAAATTATAAAATATTGAAATGTTTTTTTTACTCGTATTATATTGTACAGTATTTTTTTTTTTTTTAATCTAACTATGCAGGGAAATTGTTTTAGTTAATTTTTTTTTAATTTTTTTTTGTTTAGTTAGTCGCTGAAATAATAAGAATATCAATTAATAAATATATTTATTAAAATTAAAATTTTCATTTTAAAACAAATGACATATTTGTTAAAATTTCAATTATCATGAAAATGATCAATATTCAACTTGTTCGTTTATTGTTATTATAAGATTAAAATTGAAATTAAAATTTAATAATATCAAAAATCGATATAGCTTAAAAATATTTCTTCGTAATAATGACATTCAATTTTTGTTTAAAATATAAATAATATTTTATAAAGGTTTTCGTTGAAAGAATAAAATTTAATTGTTCAATAATTAATCTTTGCATACAAATATTTTCCGAAGAATAAATATACTTTGAGATTATTTATTAATTATTATATATTAAATAATATACATATAGAGATTTTATTTCTATATAACAGAAAATAAAATTGAATAAAACTGGATAAAGGTTTGTACAAGACTGTACTTATTCGTTCATTCCAAAGTTCCATGAATGGTTCCGAATGTGGCACGCCAAAGAAGTGATGCCTCCGAACTCATGACCTACTGACAGAAAGATGTGATCTCTTTTTTTCATGATTTAATTTAATTATCCTTAAAATCATAAAAATCATTATAAAATTATAATTGCATTTATTTGCAGATATTTTTTTTAATTAAATATATTTATTCAATAATTAATAGAAAAAGTTTTCTTCTAGATGGGTAAATCAAAATCAAAGAAGAAGAAATGGGTCAAAAATTTAGAATCTGAATCTACAGAATTAGAGATTCCTATACCAAATTTGCCAGAAAAAATCCTTTTAATGCGAGTAAATTTCAAAATGTTTACAAAATTAACATCATGTTATTTTTTATATTCATATATTACTTAATTGGAATTTTCCAGGTAAAAAGCGGTACAAAAATCAGAAATGTTCTTGGATATGCGTTAAAAGAATTCGCAAATTATAATTGTATTGTTTGGACCGCAGCAGGTCATGGTATTGGAAAAGCTATTTCCTGTGCAGAACTTTTTAAAAAGAAACAAGAAGGTCTTCATCAAATCACTAGATTACGTTATGTGGAGTAAGTTATAATAATATATAAAATATATAATAGAATTCATTATTTCATCATTAATTAAAATGTTGAAGATCACAGAAATCAAAAGAGGAAAATAAAACTAATGTAAATGAAGAAACTCGTCATGTACCAGAAATACATATTTTTCTCGGAAAGGAAGTAAAAGATATATCCGTACCTGGGTAATAAACTTTCATTTTCAATTTTATTATATATGTTATTATATGTTTTATTTTATTTTTGATATTGAAATTAAGTTATCAAGCACCTGGTGATAATGGACAATTCATAAATAACGAAGATATAAAAAATGGAGGAAAAGAGAAGAAAGAAGAAATTAGTAATAATTTGAGTTGTATTGATGCTGAAGAATTTGCAGCTATGGGTTTAAGAACTGGTCAAAAAAGATCAAAAAAAGAGCATCAAACAGAAGCGCCACCAAAAAAAAATAAAAAGAGAGAAAACGATGATCAATAAAATTGCATTTTATATAAAATTCGATTAGAAACAAATATAATTCGAATATAAGAATAAAAATTTATTTCAATAAATTTTATTTCTTCAAATCTTTTTAAATTTTATAAGAATTATAATTTTTATTTTATCATATTTATTTAATATATAATAAAAAGATGATATAAATATTTATATTGAGTAAAAAGTTTATTCCTTTAGTATATGCATATAGAAATAATCACGATATATTTCCGTTTTCTCGATTATTTTGTCAACTAATCGTGTCTATTGAATTTTTTATTTACAAATTATATATACAATGTTACAATAGGCATACATGCACATTGCAGACTTATAACACATACTATGAAAATTACAGTGCCTTCTACAGAAATTCAGTTATAAGATATTTTTTGTTTTAGAAAAAATTGCAATAAACGATTGGCAAAAATCATATTTCATCAACAATAAATGAAATTATTAAAAAATTTATTTTGCATGATTATGTTTTTCATTATTAGTGAAAATAAAAGAAAGACATTTTACAATTCTTTCTTTGCTCTTTTGTATAAGCAAAATATTTTCTTTACTCTTTGTAAAAGCATATATTCTTGGTATCAAATTCGTATAAGCTTATAAAAATTTCTTTGAACAAATCATGATTGATACATTAATAAACTGAAAGACAATAGATTTCAAAGTATGTTCAATTTTCTCTTCTTAAATTTTATATCAATTACTAATATAAAGTACTTTTTGGAGCTTATGTACTCGGCAGTAATATGGATATTTTTCCGGCACTGATATTGCTTTTCTTAATAAGAAAACTAGAGAACATTTTCAACTTTTTCATTAATAAAATTATTAATTTTTAAAAAAATGAATATAGATTAAAAGAAACAAATAATATAAAAAATAATGTTTACTTATATTCTCTAGTCTTATTTTTAAAGATTAAGTGCCGTAATAATATAAGAATTATGTATCATTTTTCTTATGTTTAATATTTTACAGAGAATAAAAATGTAACATTTTTAATTGGATCATACGATAAGTTAAGTTTGATTAATGGAGAAGAAAGCTTAACATTTCAATCCCACATAAGATAAATATGATATAAATAAGAACACTACAACATTTATTATCAATACTAATAATGCATATAAGTGTTTGTTTAATTTGGTTATTTTACGATGATTATAATTACGTCATATTGATGACTTTTGTTACAATATATTTTTTATGATAAATTATTCAAATATAAAATAATTATTTTGATACTTAATGTTACATTCAAAATTATACTATAAAAGAACTTTTTAAAATTTATATGCAATTTCAATAAAATTAAATATTTGTATACAAATTTATAATACTAAGGAAGAAATATAAAATATTATATAATATAATGTTATGCAAAAAATTGAATGTTTTTACTCTAAACTTGAATTTCTTGTTACATTATTTTATGAAACAGTATTTAGAAATGAATTTCCAAAAGAAATTTTTTTATAATTATGTTACTTTAAAAATAATACATAAATACATATAAAATTCAATAATATACAATCATTTTTATATAATAAATTGTAGAAGATATAAAATATTTATTTAAAAAGGATTCATCTTTATAAAGATTTAATAATGGCTAGTTCATTTTAATTATATCTTCTACATTTTATACATTAATAATAAATAAATACTGCAAATATAGCTTATTAAATATAACAAATTGTTTCATACAACGAATTTTTATAAAAAAAAAAAGAGAAAAAAAATTGTATCAAAAAGATTTTTATCTTAATTCAATTAATAACAAGAAATTCTAGTAATATATTTCTACACAAATTACCAAAAATTATCAATCTCTTGTAATACTCTTGTTATTCTTATAACATTTGGAACTACAAGAGATATTTCAATAATATATCATTACTTATGATTTCATATTACATTCAACGAATTTCAGGTAAATATAAATATTTAAGTTCTATTATGCTTCACTTTCTGTTGTTCCTTCTTCTTCCATAATTGGTACTATTAAACTTTCCTTTGACATTAAATTATATTTTGTTACAAATGCTGTAAATCTAGAATAAAGATCAATATAAAAAAAATGTAAAATAAATGAATTAATAATTTTATATTATTATATTAATATTATAGTCATATTTTTGTAATTATTGTAATAATTACCTGCGACATAAAAAAGTCTCATTTTCAAATTCATCAAATATTGTTCTATGATGATAATATGCATGAGAGAAAATTCTATAAACTCTCCTGCTAACAGATCCAAGTTTGGCTACTGAAGATTCTTTAATACTAACTCTGAAATTGAATATGAAAAAATAGAAAAAATAAATATTATATTTGTATGATTACTGTAATAATTTTTTAATATGATACTAAGTATACCTGCTAGGAAAATATTTGTTACTATTAAGTAAACAAGCTGCACCATCAAGTGTATGTCGTGTATAATCAATAGCTGGACATTCTTTAGGTGTCTTATGTGCAGCACATAGAAATATCCATTGTTCAGTAGCTGTCATTTGAGTACAGGTTTCTGGATGACATTCAGCCTGTAGTCTTACTGTTAAACCATTCAATTCCATACAAAACTGTCTTAAATGTTCATATTTCCATACTGCTTCATCTTGCGCTTCTGGCATTTTCAATATTAAATCAACATTAGATGGATCTCTTCTAATCATTTGCTGAATATATTGTTGCACGGCCAGCGTGCTGTCCATTTCTTCAAAGGGTTCATCAGGCCACCTACAGAAATTCTAACCAAAGAAGGTTCCTAAATTAAGAATTTTTAATAAGAAATGAGAAATTAATATTATTTATATGACTCACTTATTACATGAATATTTTATCATTATAATTATTATGAAAATATCTATATCTTTATAATATAACGATGTAATGTAAAATATATTTATATAAATGAATAATTTTAAAAAATATAACGTTAATAAAATTAAATTAAAGATATAATTAATAAGAATAAATTAAAGATATACAAAAATAAAATGATATAAATATCATGAATCATTAATTTGTAAACAAGTTTTTTGTAGCGCGTTAATTAATTTTAGAAAGATACGTTAAAGACGCTTTCAGATATTTCTGTAAGTACATCATATATAATCGAACTATCATTGAACGGTAGTGTATAAGACATGAAAACAATAAATTCTTAAGAAAATTAAAAGTTTTATTAACCTTTGCTGTAGTTCCAGGTCTATTTCTTCTAAAGAATACACATCCGTCCGCCATCTTCATTTTTTCAGTTGTTGCACTCGATTAGCATGCACGTTCGATTGAATCAAATAAAAAGATCTGAGATGTCGTAATGTCGGCCTAGAGAGTAGCGACACCATATTATCGTTATATAGTGGCATTTTATATTTTATTTAGAAATAATTTGAATGTTTATATCAATATAAAGTAAAAGTAAATTGCAAAAATATATTGTATTTTTTTTGTTTAATATTATAAATAAATACATATAGGAGAATGTAATTTACAATTTAATCTAACGATCCACTTTATTTTTACAATTTATATTATATACAGGAGAAATGAAATTTAATTTTTTTTTAAACAATATTTTAAAAATAAAAAAGCTTGACTAATGAGATGATTTATATTATATGAATATTTATTATTCGTAAACATCTTCTCTATCGGCAACGTAACGTACTATATCCGCAGGTCGTAGAAGCTTCTGTGCATCCATATCTGGTATTTCAAAACCAAATTCATCTTCTATAGCCATTATAATTTCTACGTGATCCAAAGAATCCAAACCCAAATCTTCCATAAAATGAGAGTTCAAAGATAACTGCACAAGATATCAAATTTTTAATGATAATATATATAAAAAGTGAATAAATAATTAAATATATTAATTTATTATAGACATCACGATTCAAGCGAAGTGTTAATCTACCATACTTTTCTGAGAAGCTATCTATTAAGTGTTTTACAAATATCATTAATAAGCTCTAAAGATTTTTTTTATTGGAAATTATTGAAAAAATATTTATGAAAATGTTTTTCAAATATGATCCTATATATTTGCAAAACACTTTCACAAGTATTCTTTAATGTTGTATTATCTTGTGAATAGATACCTTCTGAACATCAACTTTATCATAGAGATTGAGTACTAAAAGTACACGCTGGCGAATAAGGTCAAGTGATAATGGTGCCTTATGGCCATACTGACGCACCTGCTTGACTCGTGTGCCCTGTAAAATAATAGTTTGTAAAAAATATATAACTTTACAACCTTGTCAGCAGTTATTTTATCATAAGCTTGGACCACATTTAAAACACGTTCTTCTAGTTCTTGAGTTTTAGGTTTTGAAGTGGATGTACGAATATTTTGTATATTTACCTATTTACAATATTATATATATTATATATATATAATTAAATAGAATACATAATTAATATAATTATAATCTTTATATTAAAACATATAATTATAATAAAAGAAAGTAATATTAATATTAAATTTACAATTATAATTAAAAAGTATTAATTTTTTATATAAGTATGGCAATAAATATAATTAAATATAATATCATTAATGAAATAAAATCTGAATTTATACTGTAAGAGTGGACTTCACTTACTACTTTATGTATATTCAATTTAATTAAAACATGACATACTAAATCGATAGAATATTTTAAATCCTATATTTTACATTTTCTTATATTAATTGTTTTACTTAAAACAGAATTATTTTGATTACATAATGCGTAATTTAAAATAGGATATATGAACTATCGAAAAGAATTCACGAAAATCATAGAAAAGTAATATTTACCTGAGGTATAACTGTGAAGATACTTTGTCTTTTACAATGAAATAATCTTTCATTTAATTGAAATTGCGTGATGGCACTTCGTAAACACGTTCGAGTGATCAAATTTCTAAAAGCACCGGTATTTCTTATTAAAATACGAACTCCCGCGAGAGACGCCATTTTCTCTGCAATGAAAAATTTCGCGAAAAGACGTAACCTAATCGTATAACACTAACTTTACTTGTGTATTGCTGTTATCTCATACAGGAGTTTACATGAATTAAAAATTGTAGCGACATCTACTTTCTAACAATATATTTATTATAAAATAAAAATTATGATTTATTATATTTTATCAAGTGCTTTTCAAACTTTTATATATATATACATATATATAATATGGTATCAATTGTAGTTCCAGAGAATAATATTATTTTAAAAATATTAAAATTTATTATTTTTAAACTTCATATACATATTTGCGTATCAATATAATATATTTATCAATAATTTTATTTAATTTATATTCTATTATAAAATATTTTTTAAAAAAATGAAATATTCCAAAGTAAAAATATTACATTCTTAGTAACATTTTGAATCGAGAATATGGCGAAATTGCAAAAATTGACGCAGCTGACGTGATTTGTAGTAGAGTTCATGTTAGTGTTTATCTTTGGCAAGTATTTTTTCTATTACTCAGGCAACGAATTTTGCTAGTGGCTTGGATAAAGTGTGTTTGAATTTGTATCGTTAGTGCCATATGTGCTGGAACAATAGTGATCAATATGTGGGTGAAGCCACAAGAGGTTCTACTGGCAAATGCTTTTTGGTAAATTAATACGTGTATACAATGTTCTATGTTCTGTTATAATTACTGTTTACATCGTATGTCAAAGACAGCTGACAGACAAATACTTAGGCATTTTAGTAATCTTCGAGCAATTAATATATTCAAAATTAACTATTAACTATTACTTCATATATACAAATAATTATCATTTTAATTAATTTGTAAATTTTTTAATTAAAATTATTTGTTTATACTTCGTAAATATAACTAATGATATTAAACTTAATATATTTCTTAAAAGAATTTATTAATTATATTTTTAAATATCTTGAAATGTTTAAAGTTCTAATATGTCAAGAATTTTAAATTATTGCTATATTTTTCTATATGTTATCATTCAATATAAAAATATAAATTACAATATATTGTACATAAGAGATACGGTTTATTAACGATAAGAAATATTCGCGCTATTAAAATCATTTTACTAATTATCTACGAGATTAATTTCCCCTTCAATAATATTTATGAATAAAGTATAAATGAAAAGTGAAAAATTCTATTGATATGTATATTTCTATAATTATAATATTCTATAAATATAATATTATACGAAATTATTGTTGTTTTGTAATATTATAAATTACAAAAATAAAAATTACAGTTTTTATTAACTAAAGTTTTTTATATCTTTATAATGTTGTGTATCTTTATTATGTCTTTATATTTATATATTTATTATGTTTTTTATGATTTGTTTTTTTTTATTTTAAAATATTTACTTTCTTTATTATGCAATTAAATTTATTATACTTATATTTTTTTTTAATATACAGAAAAATTTGATATTAGCTTTATATAATAGAAATATAAATAGTATATTATGTAATTATAATTATTGTGTTTTACAATGAATAAATGAATTTTATATTTTTTTTTAAGGAAAAATGATTTTATTTTGTTATTTTTATTATATAGGATAACAGAACAAGCAACTGTATATTTTGTTTTACAACGTCGTAAAGGACATGGAAAAACAAAAGGTCTTACTTCTATATTGGTAGGAACATTGGATAGTGTTTTTGACACTAAACCTCCACCATTTAGAATATTACATCAAACGCCATCATCAGAAGTTTATTGGGGTAAGGTATTTCAACATAGAAAATTTAGTTTTTAACATAGAAAATTTAATTTTAAATATTTATTTTTTTCATAATTTTTACTTTTTATTTATAAATATATTGATTTATTTTTTTAATTTATATAGCAGTTGCATGCTCTTTGACACATGAAGAAATTTTACAAGATTGGGAATGGCTTCATTCTAATTTAATGGATACTTTAACATCATTTGATACTGAAGAAGAAATTACTGAATTTGTTTGTTGTAAAATACAATCTATTATTGCAAACAATGTACCAGATTGTCAATTTGCAGATGGTAAATTATTTACTATGAAATTAATAAAAAAGTAAAATTTGTACATAATTATTAAAATTTATTTCACAGAAGAGGATCCAGAATCATTTAAAACTGTATCTTTTAAATTTCATCAACTTTTTAATATACCAAAAGAAGATAAATTAGTCAATTATTATTCATGCAGGTATTTGTATAGTTAATCTAAAAATATATAAAATTTTAATAAAACTTACAAATTTTACATATACTATATTTTTTTTTAGTTATTGGAAATCTCGTTTACCTAGACAAGGATGGTTATATTTATCAATAAATCATATGTGTTTTTATGCCTATATTTTGGCAAGAGAAACAAAATTAATTATAAGATGGGCTGATATTACTGAATTAAGTAAAACTAATTCCATCTTGTTTCCAGATAGTATACGAGTTGTAACAAGAGAAAATAAAGAGGTAAATAAGATATTGTATTGTTTATTATTTAAGATATTACATTTTTTATGATAAGTAATTTTTTTTTATTTTTCTTGTAGCATTATTTTTCAATGTTTCTTCATAAATCTGAAACATATTCATTAATGGAACAACTTACAAATATTGCTATGAAAAGGTAATATTATTTATATCAAGTAATCAATTACATCAAAATAAGAATGAAAAAATATATTTAATAAATTAATATTATTTTATTTTTATTAGACTTATAGATGAAAAAAGTGGTTTTAATGAAGATAGAGAATTATTAAGCAAATTAAGGTATTTGATAATTTAAAAATTTCGAATAAAATTTATATATATTAATACAATGATAATTATATTTACAGCAAAAATGTACCTAAAAAACCATCTTTCTTAAAAAGGGATCTTGATGCACGAGCACATTCTGAAGCTTATAGATTACAATTCAGATTGCCAGGTATTGAAAAATTGGATGGCAGTATTGATGCAACATTATGGACACCATATAATAAAAGATACGTATGGGGAAAAATATTTCTCTCTCAAAATTATCTTTGTTTTGAAAGCAGGGTAAATATAATTAAATATAAAAATTTAATTAAATTTATTATATAAAAATTTATGCTTAATAATGCCATTTAATACTTTTATCAATTTAGGTAAGAGGATTAGTAAGTTTAGTTATACCATTAAGAGAAGTAAGACTTATTGAACCTGCTGAAAATCAATCATCCAGTACAGGAATAGATAAATCTATCCTAGTGACAACTGCTCGATCTTCATTTTTATTTGCTCAGATTCATGATCGTGATTTTGTCGTACAAAAAATATCTGAATTATTAGCAAGATCTAAATTATCAAATTTGTAAGTTTTTACATAATATTACTAATTTTACAATTTTACATTACAATTTAATAATATATTTACATTTTAATTAATATATTTTATTTTGATATAGGAATAT